GAGCTACATGTCATGTAGTATGCCAAATTTAAATTGGCTAAAAACCGTGTTTTTTTTAAATTGGACACTTAATTGGAGATTGCATATTTGACATATAAATGGACAAACGAATAGACGCACAACAGACACTTTACCATACACAACATAAACATTTCATTTAAAAAATCACTATGTTAAAGTTGTAATACACATGAAATGCTTCAGATACATTTTTATCCGAAAAGTAATCACTACAGTATAAAAATACATAATAAAGAGAAACATGTCTTTATAGATGTTGTATTATCCGAACTCTTACCCAATATGATGGTAACTTTATGTCTTTTTCAGTAAAACTATTTGTTTGATAGCTCTCTCTTTTTTTTAAAAATTTTGTCTAAGGTGGCAGAGGTTAGTTTCGTACTATAGCACCAGTCAAAATTTCTTCAAAACTCTGATATTCTCTGTAAAATGTTATAGTTCGTGTAGGAGAATGATTTGAATAATTACGGGACGCATTTGCAGAGTGCCTACTGAATAAAATTGATGTGCTATATCTAGGTGTCACCATGATGCTTAGTATATACATAGTAGTAAATGTTAAACTCACACACGTGGTCATTTGCATAGGAAATTAAGCTGGAAACAGTAGGCTTTAAAAGAAGGTGTGTCTCAGAGGGAAGTTAAATGGCAACAGATCAATTGGTGAAATTCTGTTAGGCATGTGTTGTTTTACAGGTATTTTATCCTATTCTATAGTTCGAGACTTGGGAGGGCTGTATGGTTTCGACCGAGGCGGAAAGCTTAGAAAAACAAGCCAAAATTTGGGGAGTCCCAAATTGCATTTAGGTATATGAGCACTCTGATAGGTAGGTTATAAGTTAAATGTTGACATAGTTTGTGAGCTATGGGCATATAAAAAGTAGTAAAATAATCCCAAAGCAAACTGTCCCTATCTTCATAATTTTATTGACCGCATGTATATGTGTACGTCTAGGCATATATTCGGCGTTAAGAAAACTATCCCCTGCCACCAAATCTGGTAATTTTCGTAATTACACTGTCTGGCCAAAATGAAAACTAGCTAACAGACAGTGAGGGAAAAAAGACCAGTACCATCAAGCGATAAAACAATGAACATTACTAAAATAATCAACGTATAGCATGCAATGATGTCAAGTGCGATAAAAACAAGATCAAAAATAATTTTAAGAATGTATATTTATAAATTAGGCCCACGAGCTAATCATGTCACCTGAGTATCATGTAACAACTTTCCAACAATGAATTGTGATTCCTGTTTTAAACCAGAGGCCATGAAATTCATAATTTTGAAAGAGACACCATTGCTTATCATAATTATACACCGCATGATTACTTGGTTACCTAATACTCAAAGGTAGATCAGAGTAAAAAGAGGAAATGCACTTCCGCTATATAACCAGTTGTGCACCCAATCCACCAGGCACCTCTTACCCTTGGGCCACATATTTAATTTTTTTTTTCATCATAAATTGCTGATTAATACCAAAGAGCAGATTTTTAAGTAATACTTTATTTTCAGATTATGTATCCCCCCTCCAAGAATCCTGACGCAGGGGTCTGAAATTAATTTTGATAAGGCAGCTTTCTTAATCATAAATATGTATTAAATCATTTGCATTATACCCAGGAGCAAAGGAAAAGATTTTCAAAGAATTCATGCATTTCCTCTATATAAACATTAAAGCCCCGCCCAAACACAAGAACCCCTGTCCCAGAGGTTCTGAAATTTAAAAATTTCCTCATAATACTCAGAGATAAAAGATTTTTAAAGAATTCATGCAATTTCACTACATAATCAATAGATCCCACTTAAAATCAAAACCAAATTAACCCTGGGGTTATGAAATTCAGTTTTCGAGGAGGCAGCATTATTATTCAACTTACCAGTAAATTATGTACTTGGTTACTATATTTAATACCCAGGAGCAGAGAAGAATGTCGAAGAAATAATGAATTTTCAACAAATGATCTATTAAAGCCCGCCCTAGCACTAGAACCCCTTACCCGGGGGTCATGAATTTCACAATTTTGGTAAAAGACTCAATTGAAGATTACAATCAGACCAGCAGACTGCTTGATGTCCAGGCCCCAAGATCATAAGCTGAGAACAGATTTAAGTCAAAATTTTGTTTGTTTTTTTTTTTACAAACTTCAGTTTTATTTTACCTATTTAATTGAATCTTAATTTGCAATTTTGTATCATTGAAATTTAAACATTTCCTGATATTCTGTTTCAAAATTATTTCAAAATATATACTGGTTTGAAATTTGGACTTAAGTCTGTTCTCAGTTTTTGGTTTTGGATCAAGAAGTTTCAAAGATTGCATTTATTTAAGTGGTTTTCATTTTTGTGTTTTTTTTGGGGGGGGGGGGGGAGGACCAAATAAAAAAAACACAATTTTTGTACCCCTTCACCCATAGATGTCATATGCCAAAATTGGTTGAAATTGTTTAAGCGATTTCAGAGAAGAAGCTGAAAATGTTCAATTGTTGACGAACGACGACGTACGAAAACGGATATCAATAGGTCACGTAAGTGTACTCAGGTGAACTTATAATATATCTTGAAATCTTATATGTTCTTTAAAACTACTTTATTGAAGCAGTATGAGCTGCAACTAAGAATTGTTTGTTTTCAAATCTGTTAATAACCTTTTCAATTACAGAAAAATAAGGTTAATAAACCTATGTTTTTCATATTTGCGATGTACAAATAATTGATAAGCTTTGATTAAATCAAAGTTTCATTATTATCGTCTTATAAAAAAAATTATTTCTTACATAAAAATGCATATTAGATTTATGTATACAAAATTTTATTCAAAGCTTTTTTAGCCCTCTTCCTACAAGGTCAAAATGAACAAACAGTATATAGGTATGAAACTAAATAGACAAACATAGTAACATTACAAAGAAACAAGAAAAAAAGAGAGTAGAGAGAGAAAAAGTTGCAATGTAGTACCGGTTAGAAAGTGTTGGCATAGGAAACATACATGACAGTGTCCAATAAAACGTTTGGTTGCTGCGATGAAAGCATGCACTGGTTCAAATATTTGAATATTAATACAATTCCATGATTGGGACTACCATACGAAAATAGATCAAGTTCATGAATTTGGTCACAATCAATGGTATTATAGATTGTTTGGAAAAGCATATTTCTTGGGGAAGAATTATTGGACTAGCAAAGAAATAATGATGGGTATCTTCAATAGAGTCAATACAGTATTCACACATTGCATATTAGATTGCATATATATAATTCTATTTTCTGCTTTATTTTAGCTTGTTTTATTTTAGTTTATCTATTTTAGTTTACTTGATCATAAAGGATTAAGTTACATACAAATTTATCATAATACACATTTTAACAGCAATTTTTTTCCTAATATGCAGCTCATATTGCTTTAAAGTTTATCAATCGTTTTAGCATGGGTCTCTGACAATACAATTCCTTTTATTTCAAGATATATTATAGAACTCATTATCATCTGTAAGAAAATAATAATTTGATAATTATTTCAAGTTTATAAAAAAAATAAACAAATTAAGTAGGGAATCAAGCATTTTGTAATTAAAATATGCATACAAAAATTTTACATATTTCTCAAAAATCAAATAAAAGTGTATTTAATTGAAAGAAAGTGCATGTATTTTGGTATCTGCCTTGCATAAAATGTATACAAATATATTGTGTGATACAGTACACATATTTACGAGTCCCTATAGAGACCAGCAATTGTTTGTTTCATTTGAGAAAAAAAGAAAAACACTGCTTTCTGCCAATGTAGCTTTCCACAAAAGCATTGTACTTTAACAAAAAAGCTTTTGGAAACTTTCCATTCGAAGACATACGAGCTTTTTTCTAGAAAGCGCTGTTTTAACAGAAGAAAAACAATCAGAAATTAATTTAAGAAATTTGAAAAATAACATTTCTAAAACACCTCTTATTTATCAATATATGCATTTTGTACCTATTACAAAAATGCGTTATCCCTTCTTAAAAAAACAACTGCACAGAAATACAAGACACCTTCAATAATTTAGAATATATGTTTGCATACGTTGATTTTCAATGAATCATTATTCTCTTTTTCGAACTGTATATCAAATAGGTGGTGTTTAAAAATATGTCATTTTTTTACAAGTATTATTTCCTTTTTTGAAAAGCAGTCACATATAAAAAAGATAAACAAATTAAACGGTATGGTATTTGAGGCAAAAATAATTAATTTTGGTAAACTCAAGGCATGTCCATCCTCCAGTTATGTCATAGGTTTTGCATAAAATGTTATTAATCTAAATCCGTTTCTATTAGAATTGTATCTTTTGAATGAATACTTTTTAAAAGATGTCATGCATATAATTAATTTAAAGAAATTAACATATTTAATATACTCCTCAATCTGTAAAATGTTGCTAAGGGCAATAATTCCTCTTGTAACCAGACATTTTCTTTACATATTATGTAAACTGCTTTGCCTGATGTTCACCTGCAGTATTTTATAAAGTAACAATTACTTTTGAACTTTTAGCATCAAATTTATGTATTTTAACAAATTTTTACCTAACGTCTGCAATATTTTCCCTTTAATGAACAATTGTAATGCTGAGATACACTTTCGTCCAACTACTTAAATAATATGGCAATCTCTGCATATTTTGTTATGATAAGCTGATTTTAACTATATTCAGTGAAAGTATTTTTTATACTGTATCCCGACAAAACTTTGAGGATGGAAATATCTTAAGTAACAACTTTGTTACTATTGTAAACTATGTTATATTTTATTTCATAATGATATGCTAAAAATTAAAAATAAAACTTTTACTGTAATACTTGTTCAAGTAATATATATTTCCTGAAAGCAAATATTGATCATCTTTAAAACTTTGAAATAAGTGAATTAAACCCCTAAAAAATCTTTTATGATATAAAATAACCTAATATTCATATGACTGCCAATATCAATATTTTAGTCATCCCTTACTGCTTTAAAAAAGCTTATACGGGTTCACATTTGCAAAGCATTTTACATTGTAATTTAAGTTAAAAAGTTTACCTTCACATTAATGAAACAATATTTACCATTAAATCATAAAGACAAACAACATCTATATACAAGAAAAGTTTCTATACTCTTCTCTGATATTACATAATATCACTCAAAATAAATTGTTAGCCCATGGTTAACTTGAAACAGATTGCTGTTGTTAAAAAAGACAGCAGTTAATTTTCAGTTTCGAATGGTAAGAGCTCTTTACTTGTAGTACATGTACGGGTCCGAGTCTGAAAAAGGAACTTTAAATTTTAGTCATTCTTTTAAACTTTTTTCTTCATTCAAAATTAAACTTTTAACCTGACTTTACTTCTTTTTTTATTTATCAATCAAATCTTAAAAAAATTCATATGCAAAGATTATAACAGTTTTAATATTTAACAAGAGGCCAAATGGGCCACATCGCTCATCACTGCACTGTGGCTAGGAAAAAAGCAGAAATCAATTCATTTTTGGAAAACTTAAAATGCAAGTGGTCCCTACCTCCCCCTTATAGGTGGAAGGGGGTCATGAGTTGAAAACCTTGAATCTACATTACCTGAAAATGCTTCTATATAAATATGACCAAAAATAGGATTGTTGTTATTGAGAAGATTTTCCTATATATTCCTATGTAAAACTTTGTCAATTACCCAATCAACCCCCGGGGCTCACCATTTTAACAAATTTGAATCTACACAACCCGAGGATGCTTCCATATAATAAGAGCAAGCATGGCTTTTATGTTCTTGACCCGAGGGTGATTCCATATAAATATAACCAATCGAGGCTTTGTTGTTGTTCTTGAGAAGATATTTAAAGATTTCACCAAGTATTTTCCTATGTTAAGCTTTGATGATCGTACAATGTGGCCTCATCTTATCCCCGGGGGTCGTGATAAAGATTAAAACAAAAAATTATCTAAATTTCGAGGATGCTCCCACACTAGTTTCATCTTTTTTAACCCAGTGGTTCTTAAGAAATTTTTACTATTTCTTAGTTATATCTCCCCTTGAAAGAGGGCGGGTTCGTTCATTTGAATAAACCAGAATCCCCTTCACCCAAGAATGCTGTGTGGCAAGTTGATATTGGCTCAGTGGTTCTGGAGAAGAAGTCGAACTGTTAAAAAGTTTACAGACAAACGGACAGACTACAGACAAAATGTGATCAGAAATGCTCACTTGAACTTTCAGCTCAGGTGAGCTAAAAAAGAGAAAGAAATATAAGATTCATTTATGAAGACGATTTACCGGAGTCGGATTCTTCAGAAGACGTATAATCAATCCCATTCATAAAATCCCTTATATAGTGTCTAGAACGTAGAGCTATATTAAAGCAAAATATTACAAAATAAATAGAAACTGTTCAGAAAAAAAAAAACTTATACGGGTACAATCTGCAGGAATCGATTTTTTTTTCAATTATGTGTCTCGAGGCCATATATGCCCCCGCAATGATGTCGATGTCTTTTTTCTGCGTTCAAGAGGTATGACTTTATCGAAAATCATCGGATCATGACCAAATTTGAACTTCTTTTTTCTATAATTGCTAGCACTCTCAAACACTACAACTACGTTAGTGCATATTTTTGGAATACGCATGCCTTTTAGTTATCAGTAGTACAAGTAAAATGAAATAAAAATTTATTAAATGAGAGTGTATCTTATAAATGTCTCAAATTCGTTGACTTAATTGGGAAGAGGACTTTAATTCTAAGAGCTATTTTTATCTTGTAATGACAAATCGGATTTTGTTGTTGTTACATGTACATTGTACTATTATTTGGTAAATCATTTTGTAATGAAATTGACCAGGATCAATCAAGACCAACGAAAGTAGGTAATAAAATTTGAACGGAAATTCAACGGTATTATTAAGATTTTTAAGAAAGAGTAATAAAATTGAGAATTTTGAAGTAAATAAATTTAAGAGATTAGGGCTAGAAATCCTGTGGTGTAGAGATGGGGACTGAGCCCATAAATATTAGTAATGAGTCTTTTACTGCATTTGAGGGTGGTGCCATATTGGGTTTCATAGGTCAACAGACAGAACTACGGACAAAGTGTAGCAATGTAGGTGGTAATATTGGTGGGACAGCCAATGAAATGCATTTTTATATCCGGGACCATGAATACCCTCTGAGCACAAAAACCCTGTTTTTACCTGAATACAGCATTCCTTTGAATCACTCTTTCGACTCCTGACCTTTTTCTTTGGACTACTCTTTTTGGCTAAATTTTGAACTCATATTTTTCGTACTTTTAGTTCAATGCTCTTTTCAAGTATTCGAAACAAAGGTTTAACAGGTCGAGACCACTAGATTTTCTGACGTCAGAATAAATTTGCATGTAAATTAGCTAATATGTTTACTTTACCTACTGCTGAATGAGCCACAATGCATTGTGGGCTACGACAAGTACCTAGCTGTGTTGAAAATTAAAGGCAACTCGAATTGTCCCTTGGAAACTTATCTTTAATTCTTTTTTAAAATTTTTGAAAGAAATATTTAAAATGATGTATAATCTTTCATTTTTATGCTCACATTTACAAAATGTGCTTTATGAAGCTTTATATCAACTGATAATACATCGGCCTAGTATACCATTGTTCAAAGAGATGTATCAGTGCTATCGTGTCGATAAAATATTGATTTCTTTCCACGTGATACACGTGTACATAGCTTTCGCAGGTAGTATATAGGTCCTTGTTTTTAGACACCAGGAGAAAGTGTGCAGTTATTATTTAAACCCTCAATATTATCAGAAAGTGTTTTATGTATATGCAAAAGTCAAAGCGTTTGTACGATATTCGAAGCAAGTGTTAATCATCTCAGTGGCGTAGCATCGTTTTTGAAAGTGGGGGGGGGGGGCAGCCGAAGAAAATTTTTTTTTATTTACCTGAAAAAGTTGACAAGCAAAACAAAACAAAAAAAAAAGGAAAAGTTGAAAGTTGCCCAAAGTCGAAAATCCTACTTCGTAGGGGGGTGGGTGGGGGGTGTTTAGACACTAACTTTTTTCCAGTGTCAACGACTTTCAATACCAATTCTAGTACTTCATTTTCGGTACATCACTAAAACTGGGGGGGGGGGGGGGGGGCAACCAGGTTTTCAATTAACATTTGCTATAGTTTAGGTAAGGTTGGGAACAAAAGTGGGGGGGGGGCAGGCCCCCCTGTTGCTACGCCCCTGCATCTAAAACAACTCCAATATTAAATGTGAGCATGGAGCAGTGTCTTTAAAACATAATCTTTCAATTTCGGTCTACAAAAGTCATAAAGAAGCTCTACAGTTTTTCCGGTGACGAGTTAAATTTTGTGCAGTAAACCGACGAAAACCACGTGTAGCCATTGAATCGTAAACACGTGGTAGACTGTTATGCTTTGGGACTCTTTCACTTGATTGGAGAACGCGCGTGACGAAAACGTGTTGAAAATTGCATTCCATATAAGGTAGTGGTCTCGACTTGTTTAACTATCCAATATAAAGTGCATTGGTCTATACTGATTACAATTTTGTTGACAATTAATACAAACTATACGATCATTGTGAATTTGGAGTTAATCATAAACTTTGAAATAAATACAAGTGTTTTCACTGGCTTACAACATCTTTTATGGAGTTTTAATTGTTAAATACGATTTACATTCCTTTCTTTTTTCTCGTCCTTTTCTTATGAAGTCATCATCAAGTTTTCATTCTTGTTAAAAATAAATATTAGTCCACTAGACAAAATTCAAAATATGTTTTATAAATCAAATGCATAACAATTTACATGTACATTTACATAATCGTGATCACATAATAGAACAGCGCAAAAAAGCACAAAACAATGTAAATCGTACTTTTTTTTTGTAAAATTATATAAAAAGGCTTTGTTGGAATCGGAGTAACTTGGTACTTTTTTTCTCGTTTGATATCTTATACCGTTAATGCTAATCCTCAGTGTGCGACCGTGAAATCGGCATTAACGGTAGCAAATCAATATTTAGCAAATGAAATAAATTATAAAACAACCCCCCCCCCCCCAAGAAAAAAACGGTAATGTAAGAGAAAAAAATATCCTTTATAGCACTTTACCTGATTCCACCGAGTCAAGACTTGGGAGTTGGGAGAATGGCGGTCTTTGACTAAAGGAAAGATGATCAGGATCTGCTAAAATGAGCACATAATAAATTTATTCTTTTTATTACACAAAATAATAACAAGAAAAGTTTGCACATATCTGCTTGAAATGATTTTATTGCGCTTTGTTATATAAAGTACGAGACATGAAAGGTAGTTTTAGCAAATGCATTACTTGTAGAAGATAACAAAGTAGAAAATGGTCATTCATATAACGTATTTTTTGGAACTTTAATTGTTAAATACGATTTACATTTTTTGTCGTTCTCTTATGACGTCATAATCAAGTAATTTAATAAAAATATAATAATAATAATAAATAATATCCCATCGTCTTCTTAAAAACTAGATATCATTGAGATGGTGGCCATCTCAAAGGGCCTCGCTATCAGCAACAAACATGAAATGTAAAGTAGCTGAAAAGGGTTTTTTTAACTTGTTTAAGTGTAAAGGGGGCAAAAAGCAACTACTCTCTGAAAAAATATTAAAATGAAAAAAAAACCTTTCTATGAAAATTGTTGCATTTTCTCTCAAAATATCGAAGGGAAAAACACAAATATTCCATACCCTTAGTCAATTGGTACAGTTTGAGGCTGACTGGACGTGAGGGAAATAAATTATTCACCGAACAAAGAATTTGAACAGAGGGGTTATTTTTTACCTTGACCCTTTTTCAAGGTCACTGCACAATCATTGACCAAAGGCAGTCTGTGCGAGAAGTGTGTGTCACATAAGACAAAAGCTAGAGAATATATGCTCAGAAAAAGGATTTTTCATTCTTCTATGACCTTAACCTTTGACCTAGAAACATAGTTCAAGGTCACTGCACATCCTTCATCTAAAGGCACTCTGTGGGTGAAATATTAACCAGATTGGTCCAAGCAAAGAAAAATATGTCCCGAAAAAGAATTTAAACAGATTGATTGATTGATTGTATATTGTTTAACGTCCCTCTCGAGAATTTTTCATTCATATGGAGACGCCACCACTTGCCGGTGGCGAGCTGCAAATTTAGGCCTATGCTCGGCACTCAGGGCATTGAGCAGGGAGGGATCTTTTTCGTGCCACCACCTACTGCGATACGGGGCCTCGGTTTATACGGTCTCACCCGAAGGACCGGTCTCCACGTCCCACAGTGGGATTCTAACCCGCGACGTAAGGATTAACTCCTTACTTCGCGACTCTAGAGCAGACACTTTAACCACTGCGCCACGCGGGCGACAGAATTTAAACAGAGAGGTTATTTTTGGCCCTGACCTAAAAGCGTTGTTCAAGGTCACAGCACATCTATTCACCAGTGGCACTCTGCGAGTGAATCACATTGGACCAGGGGGAGAGAAGATATGCTCCGAACAAGGATTTTACATATAATTCTGCTTTGATCTTAACCTTTGACCTAGCACATGGTTAAAGGTCACTGCACACCCTTTACCCAAGGACACTTTGTGAGTGAAGCATGAGCCAGATTGGGCCAAAGAGAGAGAAAATATGTTCCGAACAACATATCACGGACGGAAGGACGGACGGAAAGACTGATCACTATAGGGCGCCCGCCAAGCGGGGCCATTATACAAGTTAGTCCATTAGCCAATCAAAATGTGTTTTACAAAACATATGCATTATAATTTATATAATCGTCATGATATAACAGAACAGCGCAAAACAATGTTAATCGAATTTAGTTTTTAAAAAAAGACGTTGTTAGAATGGGAGTAACTTGGTATTTTTTTCTCGTTTGTATCTTGAACCGTTAATACTGATCTTACACACCGCAGTGTGCGACCGTGAAGGCAGAAACGGTCGCAAATAAAAAGATAACTTTCCCTTTGCAATCAAATATCTTACAAATCAATTAAATTATAAAGCAAACAACCAATTAAAAGCGAGTAGAGAAAAGGAAAAAAATCTCCTCATAGCACTTTACCTGATTCCATCGAGTCAAAACTTCGAAGTTGGGAAGATGGCGGTCCTTGAAAAGACGAAGGATCTGCTAAAATGAACACATTTAATTTTTTTTATTTGTATTTATTACGCAAAATAATAAAAAGTAAATGTTGTACATATCTGCTGGAGATGATTTTAAAAAAATGAATTTGGTACTTGAAAATGCTGCTAGAATCTTGTGGTTAATACATTTTTTTTCCTTTATTACACACTGTAAAGAAGGTGAAAGATTTCAAGTAAAATGAAATACAGAGATAGCGAACAGATCCAGAACTCATTCCTCCATGGCAGATCCTATCTCTGATATGTAAGAGGTCAATGTATACACTGCGCCTGATTTTTATCGTGTGAATGGACATTTGATCTTGAAAACTGTTTGTTATATTCACATATTACTTTAAGGCTTCAAAGTATTTTCAGAAAATACAGACCAGGAGCAGAGCAATTACGGACCTCATAATCATCAGAGGTGGAATCAGTTGTCATTGAAGAGGAAGCGTATCCTGTAGGATGGTCACACCCGCCATATTGTATTTGTAGTCATCAAATGATCGGGAAATAATGGTAAGATTCAAGGACAATTCAGTGTGAAGATAATGACCTTTCAATACGCAAAATTTGAGATTATCTCCCTTGTTGCGCTCTTTTGTTGAGGAGGGAAGTTTCATTGCCGCGTAAAACCCCAGTCACATTTCCAAAAACGACCAACGGCCGACGGGTTTTGAGGCAAAAATGGGATTCTTCGGGTGACAGTCGACAGTTCGTCGGCCGTTGTCTTCCCCAATTTTGACCTCTTTTTTTGTCGGCCGACCATTTTTGTGTCCATCGGTCCAAGTTATAATTTTTAATGTGTCGGTGGCCGATTTCATCAATTGAAGTTATCCGTCGACCAACTTTCGATCATCGTCCGACCATCGGTGGTCAGTTTATTTAGTCGGTCGTCCTTCGTTCGACAACAAGGGTGTCCCAAATTTCGGTCGACGGTTAAAATCAAACTGTAGCTCAAAGCTCGATGATCGGGCGACGATTGGCCGACTTGTGAATATTTAACCTATTATGGAAACATAACACAAACAAAATTTTGATGCATGGATTGATTGATATTTTTGGAACAAAAATAACATATATAATTAATCCGTAAGATATAAAAAAAAATCTTAAGCATTCTTTGCTGCGTAGATATGCGCCATTTGTCGTTTTTTATGCAATTTTATACAAAATTTTGCACACATTTTCAACATTTGAGTCCCAATCTTACAAAATTCTGCCACTTTGCCTTGCAAACATTACTCTCGTCACATATCTGAATTTAGATCTATGAAAAATATTGCTGATTTCTGAAGAAAAAAGTTTTTTGTGTTATTTATCCAAGTCATCGATGTTCCTGGGAATTAATGTGACTGCTCCGTATTGCCCGAACTTGTGTCGGCCGATCATGTTCTTACAGCCGACAAGACAAGAAAAATTTAGTCGCCCGACCATCAGCTTAAATGTGACCTAGGCATAAGCAGACAGGTGGGACAGATAATTATATATTGGATACATTGCATCATCGATAAACTAGTTTATCACAACTACATGATTGTCAGCATGCATTCTACAACTGGAGAATAACCGAATTAATGGAAAGGCGTAACTTTTTTAAAACAAAAAAATCGCAACAAAAAGAGAAAATATTAGTGGATGTGGTGTTTTTCAAACGAGGGAAGAGATATGGACCACACCTAAATACGTTAACGTTTTTACACATGCATCTGATCAAGATCATTTTACGTCGCCAATCTAAATGACATATTGATTTTTTTTTCTTTGTCATAACTTGTCATACCCTCCAACTTTTTAAAAAAATGTTTGTACAATCAAGAAAATCGGCTACTTTTTAAAACGACTATGACCCTTCTTTCGTTTTCAAGTACCCTATACTTGAAGGTTGATTTGTAAATAGGCATAACTGAGCTTGATAAAATCATCAAATGCATCTCTGCTAAACATTATTATCTTTCTATAACATTTAATAAATTTTAAAAGCCATAAATTTTGTTCAATTATTTATGCACGTTTGTATACAGAAAGAACCTGTCCCACCTCAATGCAGAAATGGGTACTTTTTGCGCCTCAATCGTAGGAGAGTTACAATCTCGAAACTCGCGTTATGGTGTGAAAAACGTCCATTGACAGTTGACATAATAATAGATTGTATGTGCTGACAAGCCCTGTAGGTCGTTATATCGACCAAAAAACTAGTGAAATAACTTTGGAAGTTTTGAAAAGGAAAGTAGGATTCTAACAGCACTTTTGACACGATGAATTTTACAAAAAGAATGCATTATCCTTGAAGTAGTTGTGCCATACGGCACACTTTTCATATTAGAGAAGGCAAGTGACAACGCCTAGTGAGGTACTTCTTTAAGGCTAAAAGTCAATATATATGTCTGTACAATAAAGGAATGTTTTTATGTTTTGTGTGAGTTATTGGTGTGTGAATCACACAGCCTTGTCACATTCTTTATATTTACATTTTACAAGTTTGGAAGCACCCAAATTATACTCAATGTTTGAATTTTTCGATGCCCTATATCGTTATACTATTACTAACGTCGCTGTAGCCTCATTGTGACGTCACGTTAGCGCACGTTTCTCCGTGTATATTTCTACGCGTGAGTATACACGAAAATGGTTTTCAAATCAATTTCATAGTTGGCTTACTAGGAAAACACAGCAAATGTAAATATTGGATAATGATAGTAAATGTGTCATCCGCGGCTTTTCTTATAAATAAATGTCTCAAGTTTTATAAGGTGTAATTTCCCATATAATGATCTTATTGCTGCCCCAGTATTCAGATCTGCGAAGATTATGATTTCACATCAAGAAAATTAGGGCATAACTCAAGAAAGAAAATGTAAATAAAAAAAAAAAAACAAGTTGGATCGCAATTTTATTGCCATTAATTTTGTTTACTCGACGAAGCTCCCATACTCGATAGCGGATAAATCTATGCAAATTCATTTATCCGTAAATGCCATAAGAAAGGACATCCGATTCAAATTTCCATGAAGTAAGATTTATTTTTGTTCAGTATTTAAATTATAATCAAAAACAAGTACTTACTATCAAGTGTTTTCTTCTTTATCTCATTCTTCTCATACAGGTATCTCGTTATCTCAAGTGTTTTCTTCTTTATCTCATTCAAAATCTACAAAAAAATAAATAAATAAATGTATATTTATAATCGGTTTTGCTATAAGTGTATATTTTACTAGATCTATAGCTGTACAAGAGCAGGGGCGTAGCAACAGGGGGGCCTGCCCCCCCCCTACTTTTTTTTCCCAACCTTACTTATACCATAGGAAATGTTAATTGAAAACCTGGTTGGTCCCCCACTGTTAGTGAGGTACCGAAAATGTAGTATTAGAATTGTTACTGAAAGTAGTTGACACTAAGGAAAAGTTTACCCCCCCCCCCCCCCACGAAATAGGATTTTTGACTTTTGTGCAACCTTTTCCTTTTGTTTTTTGCTTGTCAACTTTTTCAGGTAAGTAAAAAAAAATTTTCGCTGGCTGCCCCCCCCCCACTTTCAAAAATAATGCTACGCCACTGAAGAGTTCTTACTTACTACTTTAGATATACACTAGGAATAAGCTTATGTCTGAAACTTTATTATAAAGATTTCATTCGCATAGTAATTATCGTAAATTTAATGAAAACTGAAGTCTACTCTACTCTTATATTCGGTAAACTGTCTCGAAATATCGAATAAGAGAGAAGAGTGGTGGTTTCGGTGTGCGGATCTACATTACTAGCATTTTGTTGTGAAATTTTCAAAAAGTAGGCGTTTAATTTCTTTAAACATCATAAATATTTTTTTCAATCAAAAATGTATTTAATTGTTATAAAAGAAATCAGCTGTGATTATTGATTAGAAAACAAAATGTACAAATGCTTCCCATTTATGTCCGATCTCACTTTTATCACAGCCATCGAACCCGATGTTTAAAAAAATTCGAGGCGATTATCAAGAATGTGTATGAATATATTTACAGTATATGTTGAAAGTAAGTTGTACTCACAGATCTACAAATAAATGTCGATTATTTGCTATGGTTATTTGTTGAAATATATTTAGTAAAAGTTGTGTTTTATAAATTTTTTTTTTCATAGATTTACTTAAGGTTTTCCATCCCTAATAAGAACAATGAAATACGCAAGCTAACTCTCAATTCCCGCCTACATTTCGCAATCATTTAATCCAATATAAATGGCAATTTCTCTGTAAAATCTTTGTTTAATACAAAGAACAGTTCAGTGGTAATTGATTAATTTTCTGAATACCAACGATAAGTAGGAAATTGTCCACAACTCCAGCTCTTGAAAAGGGGGGGGGGGGGGGGGTTGACGATAATTTCCATTGAAATTGGAATTTCAAGCATCACCATATTTTGAAATAGTTTTGGATATGATTAAGGTGTTTCCAACCTCACAGTTTTAATGGTTCAAAGTATAAAAACTGCATTTATTTCATTTAATTTACTTTAAATCTTCCAATTATTGCAAGAAATCTATAGGTCACCATATTATTTAAGTTGAGAAACATAAATAAACAGAAGTGTATGTCAACATAATAAACAATCACACATTTTTTGTAAACAGTTTTATGAGAAATATGTAAACACTCGAATATGCATTATTCTGATGCAGAATGTTCCTAAATACTTCCTACTTATAAGATACTTTTGAATTGTGAATATCAGGGAACTATTTTACACTAGAAGTACAATAAACCAAATGCTTAAATGAAGAGATCTTAGAAGGAGTTATTGCCCTTGTAAACATTTTTAAAAGATTGAATAATTGAATAAATAAAGAAAATATGCATATTTAGAATTCTTTTACTTAACAATATTGATCAGTTCACCAATTGTAAAGCATTTTCCAATAGTATTCAGGGCTAGACAAATAGCATTGCCCGACGCCCGGGACGACCACTTTTGTTGGTCGGACAACTATTCGATAAGAGGTAGTTGTCCGCGGACAAGCACTTTTCCCGTAAAACAAAAATAAATAAATTTAAAGTTTTTCAATTTGTTCTTGTTGAGAAATCGAAACTAAACACGCATGTTGTATTACATAAATGCGGAGAGGTTCCGAAGTTCTAATCGTAATCGTCAATAACAATACCCCCCTCTAGGCCAATGCTATAGTATCAAGTAAGCGCTTTGATGATATGCATACATGTGAAGTGTGTCAAGCTTCAATTTAACGCAGATTGTACCAGCATCAGCAATGGAGATATTCGTTGTCGTCAGGCCTAGAAAAGATGACGCTCTGCCTTGCCCTAACATCGTTCCAGGCGATAAAAGGAAAGCACAACCTGATAATAACAATAATGTTGTATCGAAAAATAAGAAGTATGATCAAACAAAACGAGTAAGGGTTTATATTAAAGCTTGGGAAGAAAAGTGGCCGTGGCTGACACATGACGCGGAGAAAAACCTGATGTATTGTTCGTATTGTAAAACATTTCCCAATATTGCAAAGCCTGCACATTCTAATAAAACAAATAGATTTTTCGAAGGATGTGCCCTTTTCAGGGTAGAATTTATGAAAGCTCATTAAGTTAGTGAACCTCATTTATTATGTACCAGGTACTACAAACAGAAACAAGATCAGCCAAAAATATGTGCCACAGCAGTAAAAGAGACACCAATTATGAGCGCTTTCGACAAACTCAATAAATTACAAATAGAAACATTTTCTTCTTTGTTCAACATTGCCTACAAGATTGCAAAATATGGAAAACCTTATACTGACTTTGAAATAGACTGTCAATTAATAAAAAAGGTAGATGTTGATCTAGGAAATAATTACCTAAACGCTAATCGTTGCAAGGACTTTATAAAAGCAATTTGTGAGGCCATGACTGATGCAGTAAAAGATGACTTGCATAAATCTAACTTTGTGTCCATTCTGGCTGACGGGACTACTGATGTAAGCAATTTGGAACAAGAAAATGTTTGTGTCAGATATATTTCAGCAAGTTCAAATACCCCTGTCACTATGCTTGTTGGAGTCGTTGATCTAGAACATGGCCATGCAGATGGTGTGATTGATGGCATATTTAACGCTTTATCATCAGTTTGATTAATCAGAGAGACTTTAAAATCAACTGAGAGTGGGCCTAGTCTTGTAGGTCTGAATTTTGGCGGGGCATCTGTTATGCAGGGGAAAAAGAATGGCGTTGCTGGAAAGTTGATGAGGGATTATTCCCATGTAATATCTGTGTGGTGTATTGCTCACAAGTTACAGTTATCTGTAATGGATGCAGTGAAGGATGTTGATGCTTTACACAAACTGGAGGCAACCCTCAAAGGCATTTGTAAGTACTACCACGGATCCCCTAAACGGAGGAGAGAAGTAAAAGCCGTTGCCAACGTCCTTGAAGCAGACTTGGCCCATATTCCAGATTTAAAAGAGGTGAATATTTTAACATGTACAATGTTACAATAATACTGAATAAAAAAAAAATAGCACTGCAATTTAAATTTTTACATGAAAATTTGTTACCTGTTAAATATTCAGTCTGTTGCATATAGAATAGTTAAGTGAATTTATATAACTTAAAAACTTTATTAGAACAATGAAGTATAATTTTGTTTGATAAATGATTACAGGTGAGATGGGTTGCTAGTCAGAGTAAAGCATTACAAGCCATCAAAACCAACTTGCTGGTCATTACCACACATCTTGGTGAAGCTGCTTCAAGATCAGACGTGTATGTGCGAAGAAGTACATGAAAGATCTATGCTCTTTATCTGTCTTGAAAACTATGATTTTAACTATGGACATCCTAAAAGTGGAATCAGATTTGTCCAAGGTATTTGCTGTCTTACATGTAAGACTAATGATCAAATCTTATATTACAATAAGTAAAGGATATCCGATCCTCAGCCAGGAAGGATAACTCCAAAAACTAATATTTAATTTGAAATGCTTCAAAATGAAGCTTGTAAATGAATTTTTTTCATGCAACAATTGTCATTTTAATTATCTTTATGACATTCAAGGTTTTTGGAAACCTTAGAAAAGATATATAAAAGTTGACATTTGTACCCTATAAAAGAAAGAAAATTTCATACAGTTTTAGTGAAATAAGATTTTCTTGAATCCAGCCGTGGATAGTAATGCTTATTAGCATGATATGTAATAAGAATTGATTTGTGATGTCTTGGAATGATAGCAAAAGCCTTTTACGCTATTTATTATAGAATACATAACGGAAATAGAAGTCAAAAAAAAAAATACCAAATAAGTATAAAAATCATGACAATTTCTCTGAATATCTGGATACATATTGTTTTTAACCTAAAATATATTTGTTGATCAATTTGAAATTAGAAAATGCATTGCTGATATTCCAATTCGCTATTTCTCCAAGTGGCATAACTCTGTCAAAAATGGCGCGACCGTACCCAAAACAAAACTTGACCTAGATCACCCCTACTAATGTTATTGTGATTTAAAAACAAGACACGTGGTTTAGGTTTACCTATTCAAAGGTTATAGGGTAGATCCGGTTTTATAAATAAAATTGGCAGTAAACAGGAAATTGCTATAGTCTATTTATTCTGAAAACATGTCCTGTGAAAATTGTGTTTCCACTACTTTCTGAAAGATTTGCATGATTTTCAACAGAAATGGGTGGCTTAAGGGGGATGAGGGGCGGGGGTGGGGGGTTAAATACCAATTAATACATCTTATAGTTAACTGCAAAAATTACAGCTCACTAGCGACCGATACGCTGGTAAAGAAATGTGTTATATCATTTATACACTGACAAACCTTTGTTTGCCTTATATGGCTATTGCTATTAATGCGCACAGAGGATCTTACCACGAGCAACTGACCAATTGTTGATTGAATACGTTTACGCCAAATACATGTTTACACGTTACTTCGAACACGTGGTTCAGGTCAATCTGTGATCATATGAATGGAGAGCAAAATAAAAAAATGTTCTTATGAACAAAATGTAAACATTAGAAACTATGGAAAATATCACAAGCGTTTTTAATTTGTTGTTAAGTTGAGACAAATATGTTTAATAAAATGTATACATAGTAAGTGTCAAGTTCCGAACACCAGCATTTCAAGGGTAAGGAAAACGAGCAGCTTCTCGTATGCATTTAAATGGACAAAACATTTTTTACATAACTATACTCGTGATCACGTGTGTTGGCCAGGGAATCCACCTGGCAATTGTATTCACGGATAGTACAATAAAAGAATTTATCAAGCGTAAAATTCCTGGAGTATTCGTATAGTATCCCTCAAAGCAATTCTCATTCATCTGATTTGTCAGTTTAAGTCACATTGGTGCCTCATTTGCTAATCTGACGCCCAAAAATATAGTCCCGGTTCCCATTCAAAATATTTGTCCAAAAAGAAATTTAAATTCAATTGTATCATAGAGAATACTTAAAAATAATTCAAACTTGAATTAATTCAAGACAGATCGATTGAAGTACATTAATTTTCTACAGAACGATATTATAGGGTGGTGAAAACTAAAACGCAACATAACTTTTCTGTTGACCATGTCTCCACATGCTAGTCACTTCCTAGCCACATTTCCGTGAATAATTTACCCTATCTCGCTGAAGTCTCGCTAACTCTCGCCAGAGCCATTGTCAGAGCTACTCTAAACTCATCAGGTTTCATAATTTGCAGAACACCGAAAAATATTAGGTTCCGAACACATTAGTAGGGGTGTAGATATTCATCTGATATATCTGTATACTAAACAATTCAGTATTTGCAACGGTTGTGAAGAAAATGAACGGAAACTAAGTGGACTGATAGACAGACTGACCGACAGACAGATGCAAAACAATGTGCCATTCCTTCTTCGAATGGGGGCATAAAAACTAACAACTATAAGTTAGATATCTTGGATGGGTGCAGGACTAGCCCAAATCAGTCCGATAGTGTGCGAGGACTGACCATAAAATCTCTTGGGTGAGTTCGAAGAAACACATTGATGTTCAAGAACTAACCCTTATCAGTCGAATGGTGTACAAGAACTAACCCTTATAGCTCTGGTGGGTGAAAACAATAAGCACAATCGGTAAAATTGTATGCGAAACAAATACTTAATTAATGGATTTCGAATGCATAACAACGTCATGTCGTCGGACTATTGTGACGTCATAAACACTGATTGTTCCTTCGCACCATCGGACTTTGGCGATTTTCACTAAATGATTTATAGAGCCCCCACAGTTAAACCCCAAACCCTTGGGCCATAAAATTCACAATTTTTGAAAACGACTCAATGCTCATTACATATATGCCAACAGATTGACTTCTTGATGTACAGGAGTAATGAAAATTTTTAAAGAATGCATAAATTTTAGTAGTTTTTACCTACCCATTAGGCCCGGGGGGGGGGGGGGGGGGCAGGGACAATGAAATTTACAACTTTGTTCTCCTGTACCTAGACTAATGCCAAATGATAACACACAACGTATGACGACGGACGAAAATGGATATCAATAGGTCACCTTAAATTACTCACGTGACCAAAACATTTATCAAATAGATCGAACAGATGTTTGATGTGTATTTTAAACCCCCCCCCCCCAAAAAAAAGTATTAGAAAAAATAATACAGGAAGAAAAAATGTTTTACGTAAGAATTACCGGTAAGGTTGTTTTTTCGATGTTTTCTGTAGTCTTTTTGACGTGTTTGATTTTCCGTTGGAGCAACTGTAAAAAAAAACATATATAGGATAGCAAGTTATTAAAATAGATTGCAATTTCTAGTAATATCAGAATTTGACATTTTGCTTTTATATTGGAAATTAAAATGCATGTACGATTGCGCTTATGGTAAAAATGGAAACTTCTGGCAATTTTCTTTCTTCATTTGTGAATTTATCCCGGAATTTAATCAGTCAAGTCTTAGAGTTTTTTATTGTCATAGGTTATATGTAACTCTTACTAGTTTTTCCCCTATTAATGTCTCTGTAAACGAAGTTTTGAGGGTATATAGTTTTTGCTATGTCCGTCTGTTTGTCTGCAGAAACTTTAATCTTGCAAATAACATTTTACTGGGTGGGACTATGGCTTTCAAATTTGACAGGTGTATTCCTTGTGAAAAGCCCCTTTTTATGGTACCACAAAATTTGACCTATTGACCTTGGAGTCTGACACACTTTTTTTTTTACAAAAAAAATATATTCTTGGACATTTTAAACGATAAGATGTAGGGCTTTCATCCTTCACATATTTAACCCTTGTTACAAGACTTTCATTGGATACCAACAACTTTGACCTTGGTATTAGTGTTTCATAAACACATCTTGTTTTTCAATGATGCTTTAAGTAACAGTAAATAATGACGTCATTATACGTAATTTTGCATCAACATTAAAGGTTCTAAAGTAAACGATGCTTACTTTTGCATTATAATGCTACAAGAATAATGGTTGCATGTAATACGATATTCCCATGCATAATCATTTTTGTCTTAATATCTCATTAAATAGTTGTAATATATAGTATACGTCAATGGTGTATAAAACTATTAGTATATAGTTTCTATGTTGATCAGTTTTACATTTCACTATGTTTGATGCCAGAAAGACATCCATTAATTTTGAATTCATTTTTCAAACCAAACTTTTTACTTTGTGCAGGATTGTAAAACCAGTTCGTTTAATTTTAAAATCAATGACAGCTTTTGGCGAAATTTCAAATTTATAATGTGTTTGATATATGTGCTTAAACAGTTAAGTTAATATCCCTTTGATAAGAGCGATAACTTTCCGGGGAATATTTTCCAAGCAATTTAATGGATTGTCAAGTAAGGGTTTAGTAATGAGGACTATTTTACAACCACATCATTCAGATCTGATGAATGATACAGATGTTGATGTCTATTTTCCCTTGCCAATATTTTTATTAACTTGTTTACCGGGTTTTAGAATATGGGCCAAATTGTTTAATTATTTACCTAAATGTTTCCATTTGATAACCTTTGTCTTTTAATTAAGTAAGATATCTCAGATGCAAAATTTTTATTATCAATGGATTAATATTTTTTTCAGTTAAAAAATTTCAAGAACGATAATGGAAAGGCAACTATTGTAACTATTTTTTTTACAAGCACAGAAAAAATGTAATACTCTGATTAAAGCGGCATTGTGACACACAAGGGGGAAATTTGACAATTGTAGAATTTTTGAATGACCCTTGCTAATTTTGTTTAATTCCTAAAAGTATTAGGTTTCAGAAAATTACAGGTTTCAGAACGTAAATATTTTACTTTAAGGAGAAAAATAAAAGTAAAAATAATTTTAGTATAACCCAGACAGAAAATATTGCTCAATACTTCTTCCACCTCATTCTACGCGTGCGCAGAAAAGTTGAATGTTTCCATAGTTACCATAGTCTCAAGTACCCAGGAAAGAATGTAAGTATACCAAAGATTTAGAGGCAATCTTTTTAAAACTTTGTTAGAACATATTTCTCACCTTTCCATGCTCCAGCTGAATGTTGTTTACAAATTTGAGGTAAAAATAAAAGTGGCGTGACCTTGACACACACGAAAACAACGAAACGGTAGATACAACCTTTGTTTTTCCGGCACTTATATCGTGCAGTTTTTTCTTGCAGTTTGTCATATCTTAGCTATATACTCACAATTTTCATACGTCTTTCTCAGTATGCTACAGAGACATGATTTTGACTCATTGTGTCCTTTTAAAAAGCAACGCTGCATTATGTTTTGTTTAATATATATATACATGTATATATATATATATAAATATATATATATATATATATATATATATCATTTAATTGTATCTTGAGACTAAAAATTATTGATCTTTTTGTTTAACATTTCGAATTTTTTTTACACCATGATTATTATCATACCCATTTCTGAAAAAAAAATAATCAACGCTTTATACTACAAACCATTTTCAATTTGAATTTTGTATTGTTAATTCGGATGAAAAAAAGTTGGTGATATTAGTAAATGCAACTAGTTTGTAATGTTACCTGACTGGTCGGGGGTCTATCAATATTACTTGAATTAGCGGTTTAAGGTACATTTCCCCATTAAAAATAATGTCAGTGTTTTGGTTGTCCCCCACTTCCAAAGTGGGAGTTATTAATTTCGGTCTATCTTTCCGTCTGTCTTTCTGTCTGTTACACTTTCGTTTCTGCGCCATATCTCGCGTTGAATTAACAAAAATTAAGCATACGTTAAGGTCATGATCTAGTTAATGAAAGGTGCCTACAGATATATAAAATAAAAAAAAAACCCACTAATGATGTTTTATTTATTTTAGTCAAATAATGTATTTCGGGGCATAATTTGTAGGTAAACAAGATACAAAAATCATATTTACAATGTAAAACTGTCATTTCCAATGAAAAAATAAGAAAACAAGTCATAATTATGGGAGTTTTTTTTACATATCAGACATGGAAAATATATCCCGATTGACTGCTATTTTTCAGATGACGATAATTTGCATGTTCTTGGTCTCTTCTTTAAAATAATGTCAAATTAAATATAGAAATCGGACTTTTCATGTGATTTCATATTGAATTCCATGAAAATACTTAATTTTCTAAAAAATTCCATTACAGCCGTAAAGTACGGGAGATAGCACCAAGAAAGTTAGTCTTAAGTCATTTACTAGATATTGACTTTAAATAAATAAACATTAAATACAAGCTAAACTGCCCTAAGTGAAGAAATATTAATTTAAAAAGCACAGAGAAATTCACTTTTTATGTATACAAACTTCCGTCTCTCCAAGCAATAAAGATATTTTAATCAAAAATATATTACCGTAAACTTGTCTTCATCTGTTACTTCTAGATTTCTTGAGAAAATAGGAAATAGAAACAAATATTAAGTCAGGTACATGAATGAGTCGTTTATGAGTTATGTGCACTTCTCCCATTTAAATTCTTACCTGAAAGTATCCACAATAGTAAATGAAAGTTACCCTGATGCCCTTAAGGCGGCTTGTCCTTCCGCATCACGAGTTTCCTCCAATTTTAAATCAAAGTTTGTGTCATATAGGAAAACTGTAGAGAAACACTATATTATACATTTTAAACACTATATTATAGAAAAAGAAGGAAACTATATTCAATTCTTTGGAAAATAAAACTTTTTGGGGTGATAATTTTTTTTGTCAAAAAAAGAAAAAAAAAACATTTCTCCTTAAGGTCCATTGGAAAAACACACACATAAAATATTAGTGCTATCGTATTGCTGTGTCTTTTAAGGAAGACTCTTCAAGGATAAAAAAAATCGTAGACAGCTAAGTGAAAAAGTCGTACTATCATATTGCCTTTGAAATGGTGATGATTACCTTGCAATATAAAACTAGAGGTACTGTGAGCAATGAGCTCACTAAATGATACCCCCCGCCTCCCATAATGTCCATGTGTTGCCATGTATTGTTTTACGGTAATGTGTAAAGAGGAATAACTCGTCCTATCAAATGTTATCCAGTAGCTTCTATATGTGACATCATAGGTAAACATATAATGGCAATGTCCATGTTTTGCTATGGGAAACCTAAAATACGCGTCGAATGAAAAAGTAAAATAGGAGGTGCACAATTGTAATATGTAATAAAGATTCTGTGAAAGTTTCATTAAATTTCACTCAGTAGTATAAGAGGAGTTGCGGATAAGAGATAAAGCGTAACAGACGGACGGACGGAAATCCCGATTACTATATACCCTCCCACTTTTCAAGCGGGGGGTATAACAAGAGGTACAGTGAGCAATTAGCTCACAAAATGATACCCCCCGCCTCCCATATGGTTATAGCTGATAACAAGACCATGTTTTGCTGTGGCCGGGAAACCCAAAATATGTGTCGAATCAAAAAGGAGGTGTACAACGGTAATATGTAATATTGATTGATTGATTGTATACTGTTTAACGTCCCACTCCAGAAAATTCTACTGATATGGAGACTTCACCACTGCCGACGAAGGGCTGCAAATTCAGGCCTATGCTCGGCACTTACGGCCTTTGAGCAGGGAGGGATCTTTATTGTGCCACACCTGCTGTGACAAGGGGCCTCTGTTTATACGGTCTCATCCGAAGGACCGCCCCATTTAGTCGCCTTTTACGACAAGCAAGGGGGTACTGAGGACCTATTCTAACCCGGATCCCCACGGGGCGTAATATGTAATAAAGATTCTGTGATAGTTTCATTAAATTTCCCTCAGTGGTATAAGAGGAGTTTCGGATAAGAGATGGGTACCCTAAAGCGTAATAGACGGACGGACGGACATACAGACAGCTGGACGGACATACCGATTACAGTATACCCTCCCAATTTTCAAAGGGGTCACGGTGACCTACTTTTGAATAGTTTAGGTACTTTCTTAGAATCTTTAAACTTTGTCAGTTAGTGCATCTTGAGTTTTCGGAGAACGTTGACCAAAAAGCAGGTCAACGTAACTTCTTTTGACATTTTATGGCCATATTTAAGTATCTCGGATACTTATTGGCTTAGAATTGTTAAAATCTGTCAGTTGATGCATCTATTGTTTTCAGAGAATGTCGACCAAAAAGTAGGTCACTGTGACCTACTTTCGAATATTTTAGGTATTAATTTGCATCATCATAAAAAAAAGCTAGGTCACTGTGACCCAAGTTTGACATAAGGCTAAATTAGGTATGTCTAAGATACTTATTAACTTAAAGTCATCAAACTTTGTTAGTTGATTCATTTTGGGTTTTCGGAGAGTGTCGACCAAAAAGAAGGTCATGTTGGTAAAAATATTAACAGAAGTGATAGATTGTACGATTGTATCAGAAGAGCGATTCAAGGCCCTTGCGTCTCTTGTTACTAAAGATGCCAACTTACCCCTTACAAACATTGGGCTTCTGTTCAATTTCTTCCCCTTATCTTTAAAATTTATTTCAATCTGTGGACTCTTCGGTTCGTCTTCTTTCACGTTTTGGTCAATCTCAGAACTTTTAGGTCTCTCACCCCCATCCTCTAAATCCTGCAGTAACTCATTATCAACATCATCAGCTCTTCCATGCGGACAGATTAATTTCGAGCGCAAGAAATGAATAATACACCACAGAATAAAATGAACTAGGCAAGCTGGTAAAGCTATAAGTTGGAAATGCATCGGAAATATGCTCTTCACGCTAAATTCTTCCAAGAAATCTGTTTGAAGTTGCGACCAATAGAATTTGCTCTTTTCATGAACTTCTTCGAAAGTGTGGCTAAAATGTTAAAAATAAATAATTGTTTGAGCAAAAGGCCCATGGGGCTTTTAAGTCATCTGACTATAATGTAACAATTGACTTTGTTTCATGTTTGAAATCGAAGGTCGTGAATTTAACAATTTTAAAAGAGGTACTATTGCTCATCATAACTAGACAATAAACATGCTTATACATGTACTCAGTCAGAGTAAAGGAGCAAAGAAAAATAATACGTTTCCACTCGGGGAAATTGGGTTAACTGAGACACTTTTCATAAAATTTCAAAACTCAAAAATAAGCTGTAAATTTTAATATTTCGCATAAGTATTGCATAGTTGCATTTTTTTGTTAGATAACCGTAGTGTAATTTTTTGTTTTGTTTTAATGCTATGAAAATAAACAAAAATCTTATATTTAATTCACATTGACCCAGTTACATTTACCCCTATATGTTGGGGTAACTTGGACAATTGTTCAACATTTGGTGATAGATATTTTTATTAAAAGACTGATTTTAACTGTAAAATTTACTTTTTAATCAATTAAACAGCTGAATTATATTTCAAGGATGATAAATGATTAACCCAATAAGCTCAGTTCTGGGGTATTTCTTTAATATCTCAAATTTAGAAGTCTCATTATTTGCTACTACCCAACTTTCATAATCCATAAGATTTCATCACAAAATATGAAGAAACAGCTCTACTTAATTTATTTGATTATACACCAATTATTTTTCAGGTAAAATTACTTTATTGAAATGAAAAAATGCTCCATTTAACAAAAATTCAGTTCATTTAACACAACAAATTTTTTTGGCAAAGAGACGGTCACAGATGTTCTCCCAGACGCTTCCATTCCATGCACATTATTTCGAAAATAACCATATTTGATCAATGCACATAATCTCTTAGTTCTAGCAGTTTTAATCTAGCTGCAATAACGTAGCCCTTCAACTTGTTTGTCAGTATTGACAATAATTTACCTCGTTTTAATTAGAAATTGAATGTGCGTAGAGCATGCTCAACTGAGATATATAAACCCCGTATGCAGGTGGTATGTGGTGCATAATTTAAAATAAGGGAAGTTGACGATAGAAAAGTCAAAGTCATCACGTTTATCATAACGTCGTTTTCAAGTAGAATAACAAAATATGAAACAAATGTGTCAGACTCTGTGGTATTTTTTATCTCAAGCTCCCTAGGATACATCGTATCGACGAAGCTGACGATGAAGACTGGAAGAAATGTTCCGATCGATGATTAATGGTTTAGATTAAATAAGAGAAAAAGTAAATTTAAATGAGAAAATTATTATTTATTAGAAACAGAGAAAAACCAATATGCTTCAAAACTTTGTTTACGAGACATAAACATTTTGCGATCATCACATCTGAAGGTATCAATTCCCTTTCTTAAACATCCGGTGCAAGACTCATGAAAGCATAAATGAAATCGCTCATCAGAGTATTTTACCCACGCAGCATTGTTAGGGCCTACTTTGAGAAATCAACGGAAAATAGACGTGCAAAAAAGGGGCTTTTTATAAACTGAATTTATTTTAACTAAGCTGTTTTATTATCACAGAACTTAAAAACTTATGGAAATAGCATAGTATAACCCACTCAATACTGAATGCAGTTTGGTCCTGAAGCGGAAAGTTGTGTTCCATATATTTTTATCATAGCGAAAGTTATCGCCCTTGTTATTTTTAATTACTTATTATGTGCGTTAAAAATAAATACTTAATTAGTGTTAAATTTGAATTAAAATTATCAATTATAATTATTGTATGTTTCCTTAGTTGTCTTGATAAAAGTTTGTCGATTGGAAGCTTGATTAGTTTTTTAATTAGTTTGTAAATAAATAATCACTACGTATTACAAATGGTACTAGGATATATAGGCTTTTTTACTGCCGATTATACGAAAAAGAAGACTTTTAATGATTTTTTCCTATATATTCCTATGTAAAACTTTGATCGGCCATTTTGACCCCACCCTACCCCAGGGGATCATGATTTGAACAAACTTGAATCTACACTACCTGAGGATGATTCCACTTGAGTTTCTTCTCTCCTGGCCCAGTAATTCTTGAGAAGATTTTTAAAAGATTATTCCTATATATTCCTATGTAAAAATTTGATCGGCCATCTTGGCCCCACCCTATCCCCGGGGGTCATGATTTGAACAAACTTGAATTTACATTACCTGAAGATGTCTCCACATTAGTTTCATCTTTCCTGGCCCAGTGGTTCTTGAGAAGATTTTTGAAATTCCATTAATTTTTCTCTAATTTATTATTATCTCCCTTTGGAAAAGGACGTGGTCCTTCATTTGAACAAACTTGAATCCCCTTTACCCAAAGATACTTTGTAGCAAGTTTGGTTGAAATTAGCCCAGTGGTTCTTGAGAAGAAGATGAAAATGTGGAAAGTGTACGACAACGACGACAGACAACGGACAAATTGTGATCAGAAAAGCTCACTTGAGCCTTTGGCTCAGGTGAGCTAAAACATGACATAATTAATAAAATACATTCTCTTGACAGTTAATGAATAATCGCACTAAACAAAGGATTTACATTGGTATTAATCGCTTATTTAAAACCTGTAAATACGAGGGGTGATCAAAAAGTTCGCAAACTAATTGAATAACTTCCATACAAGAAACAATATTTGGTTTTAATGTTGATTATATTTTAAATTCATCCTCCGCGATTTTAATGCACATCAACCACCGTTCTGCGCATGCGCAAATCATGTGATATACCCCCTCCGTAGCGTTCTGTCACGAAAGTTAAAAGATTTTTCCAAGTTTTATATTTCTTTCCATGTGAGTTAATTTTTACGACAAGAACAGTTAATTTGTCAGAAATGGTCATATCTCGGAAACAGAATGGGAGAATAATAACATCCTTTCCAAAAATAAGCATGGCGACCATTAAAACACAAATCTTCTGTCTCAGGAGAGACCTTTATTTAAGGTGGAGAGAGAATGGGTGCATCCTTTTTATCATATCTAATATATTTAAAATCTAAAGTAAACGATATCTTAGGTATTTAATACTTATATCATTGTTCAAATATTCAACTATTTTTCATTTCAAAGTGCTAATTGGAGGTCTTTGATAGCAAACTGCTTAATTAAAAATACATATCTTTTCAAACTTGCTTTCACTGGGCAAGATGACAAGTATCATTTTTAACCATCAGCCTTCCTTCACTAAAACGATTAATGCAATCATTAATTGAATTTATAGGAAATCATCTATCACAATAAACTGTGCACAAATTACTATATGATACTGTAGAGGGATTACAATAAATTGTACAGTCGTTTGTTGAACGAGTTCGACTGAGACAACCATTTTTCGGCACAAGTGACCTAAATAGTGACGTCATTTTTACATTGTTACGTCACAAACAAGGAGAGAAACTTTATTCAGCATATGCTATTTATAGACCTTGTGTATGGCTATGTGTATACCGAATTTCATTCTAATCTGAATTGTGGTTTTGTAGATATAGAGATAGTTTGCGAACTTTTTGATCACCCCTCGTAATATTCCGTTTAATTTTTAATTAAAACGCATTTTTCATTGTTAAAAGTTCCTCAGTATGCCTATAACAGCACATGAAATACGTCATTTTTACGAAAATAACGTCATGTTTACAAGTTCATCGCGATCAGTGCTTTGTTTATAACCAGCTACATGGGATTTAACTAGCAAGTTTTTTTTAATGCAGTGATAAGTTTTATTGTTGTTTATTATGCTGATACAGTTGAACGTTGCAAATTATTTCATTTTTAAGTATTATGAGAAATACATAAAAGTGATATTTTTGTGTGACGTCACAGTAAACTTTTCCCGTATAAACTAGGTTCCGCCCCCTTTTTCAAGCCTTAACAATACTGGCCAGTCTTCATCGTCAGATTCGTCATTATAGTGTTCATTATCCATGACAGTAGCTGCAGAAATCTTCCCCAGTTTCCTTGTTTACGTTTCCCACTTTGATTTCCCCATTTTTTTGTTTTTCCTCTTCATTTTTCGTAAATTCTTACGGGCTTCCTTTCCAATTCTCTTTTTTCCTTTTTGTTTTCTTTGTCTTAAATCTCCTTTATAACTTCATCTGCTGCAAGACATCGCGCTGATGTGATTCTTCGATATTTTCTGTTTGTAGCTGATTTTTTCTCCTTTTCGAATGAAGGGACCACTAAAAGACTAGAGAGAACATCGCCTTATGCACATGGAACTTCTTGATAAACAGAACTAAACGACAGCCTTGCATGCGCACCAGCATCAATTTCAATGTCAGTGGATTCCTGCTCAGATGATCTACATGTATTTTCTTTTGGTTTACGGTCGTCCCCCAGATTTGGTATTTATGAAACCAAAGACGATCCAAATACTTCTTCGGGTACCACTGAATGATTAAATGGGAAAATTCCTGTGGCACGAAATGCACTAGAAGCAGTAGGCATTATTTTGCAGCCTTTGTGATAGGCTATCGTGAACAGTCAACAGAAGTCGTAAATTATTATTATCCGACCTCGGTTTTCTCTTATGAACTGCGTGCAAGCAATATTATACTTTGTTTTCAGTGATTTAAATAAGCAGTTGTCAAGAGGTTGAAGCTCTGGTTTTATGAGGGGGAAGACAGAGAATATCAATGTAATTTTCTTTGGCCAGCTCAGCTTCAGTATTTCAAAGCTTATATGAGAAAAGTGACCATCCATAATCAGCAGGACTGGTCGATGCGTAGGAAGATATTTAATGAAATGGTTTTTAAACCAGTGCTCAAAAAGCTCTCTGTCGTCAAATGATGACTTACTGGTAGCAAATAGTGAGTCAGGAGGGGCATTAGAAACAAAACTCTTTTTAAGCGCTGTCCCTTAAATAATCATGGGAGAGATGTACAATCCTGATGCACTGGCGCAGATAAATACAGTGGCATTTTCTCCTTGATCTCCACTTGTCTTGCTGTGAATACCTTTTAGCCCTACGATTTTCCCTGGTGTGTGCACAATGTTAATTTCACTCTCATCAGCATTATAAATTTAAGAACCTTTGTCAAATAGCTTTAACCTATTTACTGTATTTCCTAGCAATTGGAAGTAGGATGTCACGACGTGCTTGCTTAACATCATTTCTCGTGCCGCTGAGAGGCCTTCAGGCTTTCTTATGGCAAGTTGTGGATGACGACGCATGAAGCCCTCGTAACAATCATATCCTGCTTTAGCTTTGATTTCACTGAAAGGATTGTTAATTTTTCCTGTCTCATTTCTTTTTTCTACTTATCAGACGGGTAGAAAACAATGGATGCCTATATTCCCATTGTGTTATTATCGGACTCCTCCAGGTAACTTTTGGACATTGAAATGGCAATGCTTTAAGTAAGATATATGCCTCATACTATTCTATATGTAAAATTATCAGACAGTTTTCGGCCCTAACGGGCCTCAAACAGCTAGTCTGATAATTTTACATATAGAACAGTATTTGGCATATATCCATTACCGTGACAGGAAAAAAATAAGTGAACTCTTGTTTCATTCATTCAATGTCTGTCGTTTAGTTTCGCAGGACAGGGTTCCAGTGGTGAAAGGTTTTTTTTTTGTTTTTTTTTGGGGGGGGCATTTTTATTCATGATGTGCATAAATTGACATTGATATTGATATAATTTTGGATGATATTATAACCATCATCATGGAAAGTAAAAATGCGGATTTTTTTACCCTGAAGTTTTAGTTTAGATAATGGAAATATTCTCATGTTTTAAAAGTGTGGCCATCGGGGAACAAACATAAAATAAGATTTGCAGACTAATTTAGAAATGGATTTAAATTCGCTTATTCAAAGTGCTGTATCAAAAATTCTTTTAAAGAGTGGAAAGTATTAATGTTGTGGAAGGTTTAAGCTCGGACTTTTTTTCTTATATGTGCTATTTTGTAGCAACTTCATTTCCATGGTTTGCTTTCCCTGAAGTTTTTTCTTAACAATTTTATTAGGGGCTTCTGGACATATTTAATCTTAATTTCACTCTTGTTTTTGTATTTTTAATACTGTCCGATTTTGTTATCATTGCCGTTCGATAATATATTATCAGACTGGTAATTATTATTATCGGACGGCTACAGGTAAATTTTTAGACTGCAAGAACAAAGGCATGACGTCAGAGCAATGTTTTAATACCCATGAACAGAGAAAAAAATTTAGAAAAGTGAATCCGGGTCATTTCTCCACAGTACCTGCTCCGCCTACGTCATTTCCGCCCAAGTCATCTCTCTCCTGGGTCATTTACCTCCATTACCCAGGTCATTTCTCTCCACAACCTAGGTCATTTCACTCCAACACAAAAATTATAGTGTAATAAGTTTAATTATATTAAGTTTTGTTAATTACCATGCTGAATTTAACGCTAACTTTATTTATTTTATTTTATCTAATTTATTAATTTATTTAATAAAACATGTATTATTTATTTATTTATTAATTCACACATTTATTGTTTATATTATTCATAATTTAAACATTTATGCATTCACTCATTTATTTGAATAATTTTTTTAGAATTCTTTTATAATTTAATTCATTCCTTTATCTATTAATTTTTTGTATTAATTAATCAATTTATACAATCTTGAATTAGCTTTTCAAAAGGACAGAGGCACATGATTATTTATTCTAAGACTTACTGACTTTCTTTCTAATGAAATTAGCTGCAGAACTGTAGCTCTCTGGAAAAAAAATGTATTGACAGTGCGGTCTGTCCAAAAAAAAAAAAATAAAAAATCGGAGAGCTACAGTTCTGCAGCAATAATGGAATACAGAATAACTTTTAATGCGATAATAGAAATATTTTATTTTAATCTTCTTTCTTTAACAATTAAATTCATTATCAATTAGACTTCAAGTGAATTTGTTTATTGTCCTGTCATCTGTCGTTTATGGTCTTTATCAGGAATAAATAAATAAATGTTAGAATTTGTAATTGCTGTCTTGCGGTTTTATGGTACCCTACAAGGTGTTTTTTTTTATCATCATACTGGGTGCATATGTTTATCTGTAAATTGTCGATTTCACAGATTGACAACACAATAGCTCCTTTAGTCTTTAGATAAAAAAAATGTCAACTTGTACAAAGATGTGTTCAGCCAGATTATTATATATATAAGAATTTGTTCCTACTTTTTTATTACATTGAATACAAACTCATTTACATGTACTGTAATACTTCCTAGCGAATTTTTAGGCAAGATGACTAATCCTAAATGTATGCATTTTCACAATCAAGTAAATTTTAATTTTTTATATTTCATTTTTTTTCCCCAAATTACATGTTTTCTCTGTGCAACAGTGGCAGCCCTCACCCCCCCCCCCAACATTAACATGTTTATTGAAAGAACGTAAAATTAATGTACTGATGCATGGATTTTTAATTTAAAATGTCCCGATTGTTACAAACATTTTTCTACATTATTTTATCTTGCGTAAATGTGCATACATGTAAAAGACCTCATGAATGGCTCCTTGATAATAAAACGGAAGTATTGAACACGTCGAAAGATCATTCTAGCTAACATGAGATCTAGTCATATGTCTTTGCCTTTTCAAAAAGCTAGTTCAAGTTTGTGTTATAGTTGGAATATTTTTGTTTGTACTTAAAATTTATGATCTCTGGTATAATAATGGAAACTGAACGCCATGGATAAAATACGTATAAAAATGAGATGATTTTTTTTAATTGAATCCAAGAATATGTAAACGTTGAGAGACAGTAGATTATTTGACATCTATTGAGAGTATCAAGATTACAAGTCCTAAACAATATTTTATACAGTCCTGATAATGTATTCTCTATTTCATAAAATATTGTGGTAAACACAGCAGATTACATTATATTAAAAAGGGAGGTGGGTTTAAATAGTTTTTCTTACATTAGATTCATACATATGCATGTAAGAATCGTTTTAATGGTGTAATATACTAGTACTTTAAACATATTAAAATTTACTAGCCATTTCCGGCGAAGTTGTGGTGATGTCTATTGCCACACCGAGTAAGTTCCTTTTCGATGTCTTGTAATTCATTTTTAAGAGATATATTTTCCGTTGTTTCATTCCCATTAATTCATGTGGTTTGGCTACTTTGTTAATCTTGTATCCTTTGAAAATATTGCATTTAAAGTTTTTTCATATTTATAGCATTTTACGTCATTATTTTCTTTGCGTTCTTATTATTTATAATTTTATAATATACAATTATTCAAAATAAATATTGGTAAATATTTACAGACTTTTACTTGTGTATCTGGTTTCATAATATATCCGTATTTTGAGGTATCTTTTGTTTTCTAAAAATTATCTATTTTTAGATGCAGAACTGTAATTTTCCAAAAAGAAAATGTATTGTACCAGTCTGTCAATATATTTCTTTTCGGAAAGCTACAGTTCTGCAGCTATTATTTTATGTCATGGGTATTTTCTCCCTTTTTCCTCCTAAGATCAAAATTGACATATTATAATTTAAAACTGTTTTATTTTTTTATTCCAACGTATTTGTATCGCCAAACAAAATCAATCAATAAAAGCAAATTTTTTTTGTATAAGATTCGAGTTTGATCAGTATCTATATAATATTCAGATTATAGACAAAACTTCATCATCGGCTATGGTAAAAATTAATTATTTTAACAAATTAATTTATTTTAATTGAGTTTAAATTTTTCTTTCAAAATTATTACCCTTAACAGAGGAGGCCTTCACGAAGCAAGGGCTGGACAATGGTATCAATTTATTTTCATTAATATCAAATATAAAATTTTCCCCTGTAAATAAAATTCCGACACATTCTCTCGTTCGAATTTTATTGGTCATAAATTGATAAAATTAATTTATTTTACAAGACAAAAGTTAATAACACAAGAATGGATATGTAAATAATTATATAAGACCAGATTAAAAATGGGGTAAAATGACCCAGGTAGGAGAGAGAAATGACCTACCGTTAAATGGTAGGAGAGAGAAATAACCTAGGAGAGAAAACCAGAAGTCGCTGTCGAGACTGTAGCTCTACTGGTTTATACTTAAAACAAAGGAACAGAAAAGTAGCAGTTGGGACTTGAGACTTTAAATCAGCAATAAATAGAAAAATGATCCTTGCCACTCATCAAAATAAAAACCAATGCACAGAATTATGTATCTTAGTATAGTCTACTTGTGTGCCAAGTTATACTGAAAACAGACCAAAACTGCAGGAGGAGTAGCATTTTGAAAGAATTTCACAGAAATTTCTATTTTTAGTAACCATGGCAACATTGTTCATTGAAATCAAAAACCGATGCACAGAATTATGTATCTTAATGTAGTCTACTTGTATGCCAAGTTATATCAAAATCAGACCAAAACTGTAGGAGGAGTAGCATTTTGAAAGAATTTCACAGAAAGTTCTATTTTTAGTGACCACGGCAACACCGTGTATCGAAATCAAAAACCGATGCACAGAATTATGTATCTTAGTGTAGTCTACTTGTGTGCCAAGTTATACTGAAATCGGACCAAATCTGTAGGAGGCGTAGCATTTTGAAAGAATTTCAAACAAATTTCTATTTTTAGTAACCATGACAACACCGTTCATCGAAATCGAAAACCGATGCACAGAATTATGTATCTTAGTGTAGTCTACTTGTGTGCCAAGTTATAATGAAATTGGACAGAAGCTGTAGGAGGAGTAGCATTTTGAAAGAATTTCACAGAAATTTCTATTTTTAGTAACCACGGCAACACCGTTTATGGAAATCAAAAACCGATGCACAGAATTATGTATCTTAGTGTAGTCTACTTGTGTGCCAAGTTATACTGAAATCGGACCAAGTCTGTAGGAGGAGTAGCATTTTGAAAGAATTTCACAGAAATTTCTATTTTTAATAACCACGGCAACATCGTTTATCGAAATCAAAAACTGATGCACAAAATTTTGTATATTAGTGTAGTCTACTTGTGTGTCAAGTAATATTGAAATTGGACCAAAACTGTAGGAGGAGTAGCACTTTGAAAGAATTTCAAAGAAATTTCTATTTTTAGTAAACAAGGCAACACCGTTCATCGAAATCAAAAACCGATGCACAGAATTATGTATCTTAGTGTAGTCTACTTTTGTGCCAAGTTATATTGAAATCAGACCAAAACTGTAGGAGGAGTAGCATTTTGAAAGAATTTTACAGAAATTTCTATTTTTAGTAACCACGGCAACACCGTTCATCGAAATCAAAAACCGATGCATAAAATTATGTATCTTAGTGTAGTCTACTTGTGTGCCAAGTTATATTGAAATCGGACCAAAACTGTAGGAGGAGTAGCATTTTGAAAAATTGTTTACAGACAGACGGACAGACAGACAGAGAAACGGACGGACGACGGACGCATTACTATCGCATAAGCTCTTCTGGTCTCTGACCAGTAGAGCTAAAAATTTAGAGAGAAATGACCTGACACCAAGAAGAGTTAACGTATTTTAAATACATGTATCTAATCAATAGAGCCCTGTCTTTACACCAGAAGCTTCAACCCAGGGGCCTTGATATTAACAATTCTTGAAGAAGAACTCTTTGCTCATTATAACTATACTACTAGATCATCGACATAAAACCTGACCAGAGGAGATTTTTGGAGAATCGATTTTTACATAATCATCAACAGAACTCTTCCTGGACCCTTGTCGAATGGGCCTTATTATTCATAATTCTGAAAGAGTCGTCATTCCTCATTATAACTATGTACATGGTTAATTGGTTAAATATCTAGGAGCAGAGAAAAAGATTTTTTAGGATATAGAACATTTTCACTATATAATCAGTAGAGCCCCTCCATATAGCAAGCATCAGAAACTCTGACCAAGGGGCCTTGAATTTCAGACGTTTGGTAGAAGGCTTAATGCTTATTACAATTATGCCAACAGTTTCATCGCTTGATGACCAGGAGTAAAGAAAAAAAATTGATTTCAAATCGTTTTTTTGTTTTCCCCTCTTCCTTCTGGCCCCATGGAGAGAAGGACCATGAAATTCAAATATTTTGTTCCCCTTCACCCATAGATGTTATGAGCCAAAATTGCAGTTTCTGAGAAGTTGAATAATGTCAAATGTTTACGAACGACACACGGTGATTGACGAAAACAGATAGCAATAGGTCATCGGAATGACTCAGGTGACCTAAAAATTAGGAAACATTGAAATTAATACAAACAAAAAAAAAAAAGAAGAAACACGCTTAAATGTTATAATTTATAAAATGAGTAAATTCTAAACGAGTTTTGTTTCTAAAAAAGTAGTTGTAATGAAGGATTTCTTTTCAAAATTCTAGTTTTTGTTTGAATATATATACTTAATAAGTTAGGAAATGGTGAAAATATAACGATAAAAAAACAATTATTGATCTTCCTAACATACAATACATCGAAAAGATAAGTCAAATTATTTCTTCCCAAATCAATTGCATACTTGTCAGGTTTAGAAAAAAATCAAGAGGAAAAGAGTGGTGATTTTTAAACCTTTATATGTTGTAATACTATACAATCAAAATCTTTTGTTTTTTATGATACAAATCATAAAAATAATCGCTAATGTCCTGGATGAATAATTTCCCAAGTATAATTTAACCTTTAATTATAAAGCATGCCGACTTTGAATATTTTACTGACTTCTGCATTGAATTTAAAATCATTCTCTTTAGAGAAGTGGACAGCTTTCGCCTACATCCAATTCCCATCGCATGCCTCCGTTTGGTTATTCTAGAAACCTCTACTAGCATTTTGTCTGGAATATGTCTGATTTTATGTAAAAAAAAATACCAACTTTATATACACGTTGTTTTTCAAAATTTTTTGTGATGAATTAGGCAATTCATTTTAAGGTAAATCTTATAGACATTGATCCATATAATTATTTATACTGTTTTTAGGTCATCTGAGTAAACTCAGGTGACCTATTGCTATCTGTTTTCGTCCGTCGTGTGTAATCATTTGAACATTTTCAGCTTCTTCTCTAAAACCACTAAACCAATTTCAACCAAATTTGGTATACAGCATCTATGGGTAAAGGGGCACAAAAATTGTGAAGTTTATGGTCCCCGTCTCCCTGGGGCCTGAGGGTTGGGGCCAAAACCACCAAAATTATTGCAATCTTTGAAAATCTTCTTTACTCCTGGACATCAAGTAGGCAAACTGTTGGCATGAATGTAATGAACGTTGAGTCCTCTACCAAAATTGTGAAATTCATGGCCCCAGGGTCAGGGGTTCTTGTGCTAGGGCGTGGCTTTATAGATTATTTAGTCAAAATGCATTATTTCTTTGAAAATCCTCTTCTCCTCTCTTGGGTATTAAGTAAACTAATTAAGTACATAGTACTAAATTATGTTGAGCAAGAGTGCCTCTTCCAAAATTGTGAATTTTATGGCCCCAGGGTCAGGGGTTCTGGTGTTAGGGCGGGGCTCTATTGATCATAAAGTGAAAATGCATTATTCTTTGAAAATCTTCCCTGCTTCTGGGTATTAAATAAACTAATTAAGTATATAGTCATATTGAGAAAGAGTGCCTCTTCCAAAATTATGAATTTTATGGCCCTAGGGTCAGGGGTTTTGGTGTTAGGGTGGGACTCTATTGATCATATAGTGAAATGCATTTATTCTTTGAAAATCTTCTTCTCTGCCCCTGGGTATTAAATAAACTAACTGAGTACATAGTTATGATGAGCAAGAGTGCAACTTCCAAAATTGTGAATTTTATGGCCCCAGGGTCAGGGGTTCTGGATATAGGGCGGGGCTCTATTGATTATATAGTGAAAATGCATTAATTCTTTCAAAATCTTTTCCTTTGATTTATGCCAATGATCCAAGTATATATATATATATCTCTAGCAAAATGGTTATTTTTTATGCCACCTGGGTCGGGGTTGGGGTAACATAGTCTGAAAATAAATTAATGCTTTGAAGTCTGCTCTTTAGTATTAATTTTATGATAAAATTTGCAAAATTTTGAAATATGTGCCCCCAGGGTCAGTGGTTCCTCTGGGATGAGGTGCACAACTGGTTATAAAGTGGAAGTGCATTTTCTCTTTGTTACTCTGATCTACCTCTGCGTATTAAGTAAATAGAGTAAGCATGCTAGGTTTATAATTATGAAAAGTAATGGTGCCTCTTTCAAAAAGGTGAATTGTGAATTTCATGGCCTCTGGGGTAAACACGAACCAATTTTAATTGTTTGAAAGTTGTTACACGATACTCAGGTGACCTATAAGGCCCGTGGGCCTCTTGTTTCCAATTTATTTACTTGCTAGATTTTCTACTAGTAATTTTGCACATACCTGTACATTGCAATCAGAAGATTTAAAAGCAAGACGATTGTTATCAAAGCATACATTGCTTTAATGTATGGTCCCAAATGTAATCCCCATTCAGAGGCACACCGAGGCATTTCACCACTCTTGTATAGAGTCTTGTTCGTTGTGCAATGAGGTGGTTTCACTAAAATGAAATATTTAAAATCAATGCATTAACAAACCTTATTTGAATACAAGAACATGTCTATGTTAAACAAGATACGTTTCAAAATAAAATTATTTCGAACGATATTCAATTGTAAATGATGTCTGCTGCTAATTTTGAATTTCTCAAACTATACGAGTTATATTGCAATCTCATGTGCAAGCTAGGTTCGAAATTCCATTAACTATATATGCATATGGTTGTGGAATTCCTTTTGACAATGCTGCTGTGTCAATTGCCTCATTTTCAATGTTGTATTTTGAAAATATTTCAAAGAAAATTCAATTTTTTAACAATGGCAATACCGTTCACCGAAATCAACAAACGACATAAAAAATTATGTATCTTGGTGAAAGCAGGATAAACTGCAGGAGAAATGACATTTTGAAAAATTGTTTACAGGCAAAGGAACAGACAGACCGTTCAAATCGTACAAAAATATTCTGCCCTTCTGTAAGTAGAGTTTAAAACGGCTAAGATACGCCTATGTGTTAATTAACAAAAAAATCGCTTAAATTGTGTACTTGTTAATGTGATTGTTAAAAAAAATAAGGTAAATTTATATTAAACAAGAGGCCCAGGGGCCAATCACTAACCTAACAAATTACAGTAGCTAGGTAAAAGCAAAAAAAACAAAGTACTGAAAGCACTCATGGGAGGTGAACGTGATGTTAAATAAAATCTTTGATCGGGAGGTTAAGTGAGTGAACAATATTATTATTTCAAATACAGACAACTGTTTCAGATTTTTTGAGTTGCAAAAATCTCGAGAAAGACATTTAGAGACATTGAATAGCAAAAAAAAATGCAGGGGCCATATTGTTGCCTGCCTACATTAGTCCTTTTTTATACCCCCTGCTTGAAAAGGGGAGGGTATTTATTAATCTGGATTTCCGTCTATCTGTTTGTAACGCTTTAGGTATACCCATCTCTTATTCGCAACTCCTCTGACACCACTGAACGAAATTTTCATAGAATCTTTATTACATATTGCCGTTGTGCACCTTCTATTACTTTTCCATCCTACACATATTTTGGGTTTCCCATTGCAAAACATGGACACTGCCATTATATTCATATTTGAGGCGGTTGATCATTTATATAATTCACTGCTCACAGTCTTGAAATTTGTAAGATATTTTTTCTTGGCACCTTTACCCATGTGTTATGAAAATTTCAGTTTCGCAGGAATAATATCAATGTTGATAATATGTGGATTTTAACACAGCATCCTTTTAAGAGCTAACAGGTTTGTTATATAAAACTTCTCTGTGAATATAAATGTATTTCAATTACACGAACATTATACATGGAGTACGTCAGAACTTAATCTTTTTCAATATTGTGAAGGAAAAAGCAATACCAAGTTTAAAACAAATATTTAATGAACAAACATAAAAACAGTGTTATATGTGAGAGTTTGTGTGCGTACGAGTTATCTGGTATGTAAATGAGGTTTTCCTTTTATTAAAAAAAAAACTTCATTTTGTTGTTTTTACGAAATGATTTTACGAAAACATCTGTGTCCGTTTTTTGGTTTCAACATTTATAAAGGAGTACTAAATTCACCGCTTTTGGCAGGTGATAGTGCTGATTTAGTAATAAATACACGTTTCCTAAAGTTTTTATGCATTAATGAATTCATTTAAACCAAGAAAATGTTCATGAAAAGTTTGAATAAATTCTGTGCACCGGTAAAAAAAAATTGCTAAAAATCCGGGACCGTCGGGCGTCGGGACGACTAGATTTACCGCTTGCCGTTAGTATGTAGAGTTGTCGATCGTATCTTTTTCAGTGTATGACGCCACACAAAAAAATGAGTTCCATTACGAAAAACTTTTGAGGTTCTTTATAATTTAGTTTTACTTTGAACGAAATAAAATATTCAAAATAAGATTACTTTATCATTATTACATTTACTTACATTTCAAATTACGAAAATTAGATCAATTCAGGAGAAAATGACATGAACTATTTGTGGCGGATGTTTATGCATGTTTTCTGTTGAATATCATCGGAGTAAATCAGCCGACACAGTAGCCTCGCTTTCGGCTCTATATAATCAACACAGATTACTGCGCATGTTAAATACGTGATGACCATGGGAGATTGCACATAGTTCAACTCCCAAAAATCAGTTCAGTATTGAAAGGTTTACATATAGTATGAAAGTAGATTCGAGGAAGGAAGGGCTAAGGGTATTTGAACAATCTTAAATCTCCACTTCCTAAGAATGCTTTTTCGCTTATGAAACATAATGTTTTTGTTGTTTATAGTTATGATCCACTTTAATGATGCTTTTAAACTGTTGATCAATCATGGCTTTGTAAAGAATTTTAACGATTTTTAGCTCACCTGAGCCGAAGGCTCAAGTGAGCTTTTCTGATCACATTTTGTCCGTCGTCCCGCCGTCTGTCTGTCCGTCCGTCCGTCTGTAAACTTTTCACATTTTCGACTTCCTCTCAAGAACCAATGGGCCAATTTTAACCAACCTTGGTTCAAAACATCCTTGGGTAAAGGGGAGTTTAAATTGTTAAAATGAAGGGCCAAGTCCCCTTACCAGGGGAGATAATCAAGAAAAGACAAAGATAGGGTGGGGTCACTAAAAAATCTTCTTCTCAAGAGCCACTGGGCCAAGAAAGCTTGAACTTCTGTGGAAGCATTCTTGGGTAGTGTAGATATTAAATTGTTAAAATCATGACCCCCGGGGGTAGGGCGGGGCCACAATTGGGATTCCAAGTTTTCCATAGAAATATATAGAATAAATCTTTAAAAATCTTCTCAAGAACCACTGGGCCAGAAAAGCTGAAAGTTATGTGGAAGCATCCTTGGGTAATGTATATATTAAATTGTAAAAATCATGACCCCCGGGGGTAGGGCGGGGCAACAATAGGGAATCCAGGTTTTACATAGAAATATATAGAACAAATCTTTAAAAATCTTCTTCTAAAGAACCACTGGGTCAGGAAAGCTGAAACTTATGTGAAGGCATCCTTGGGTAGCGTAAATATTAAATTTTTAAATTTATGACCCCCTGGGAGCAGGGCGGGTCCACAATAGGGGATCCAATTTTTACATAGAAATATATAGAACAAATCTTTAAAAATCTTCTTCTCAAGAACCACTGGGCCTGGAAAGCTGAAACTTACGTGGAAACATCCTGTAGATTCTACAGTTTAAAATCATAAAAGGGCAGGGGGTAGTGGAGCGTGATAGGTATAGCAAAAGGGGGGATCTGGTAAAGAACTGCATCACTCAGGTGAGCGATGTGGCGCATGGGCCTCATGTTTAAATGTATTCCTATGTAAAACTCTGATACCCCATTCCACTCCTACGGATCATACTTTGAACTAACTTGAATCTACACTACTCGAGGATGCTTTCATATAACTATGACCAATCACAATTTTTCTGTTTTCATGAAGAAGATTATTTTCTATGAAATCATACTTTGATCACACATAATGACCCCCACTAGCTCCAAGGATCATGATTGAACAAATTTCAACTACCAGAGGATGCTTTCATATCCATTGTGACTATGATCAATAATGGTTTTTATATTCTTGAAAAAAGGTTTTTCCTATGTATTCCTAAGATAAAATTTGATCCCACTTTATCCCCCTTACCAAAGCTAGTCATGACCTAAATAAACTTTAATCTACACTTTTAGATGATGCTGCCATAAAAATATGACCAATGACTGCTTTGCTTGCTTGATTGTATACTGTTTCAGAGCTCCAGATAATTTTTTACCCCAAAGTGTATTTACTCCCTGATTTTCAAATCAATGCAGATTTTTATTTTCAGCAAAAAGATTAAAGGGTATTTTGTTTATATAGAAATGTTTAGATCTTTATTTTGATCTTGTAATCGAAGTATGAGTTTTTGAAGAGGGAAAAAACTTCAAAGCTCAGTTCCTGCATTTATTTAAATAAATTTTGTACATACCAACAAAAATTTTTGCTGAGATTGGAAAGCATTCTTTTTTGACAAAGAAGATTTTATAGTAGGTCAAAATACACTGTGCCATAGAGTCAGAGAGACAGATAACTTTTTCTTCATTTAAGATATCGTATCAACAGTAAACTGAAAGAATCTTCGTTAATGTGGCAAGTTGAGAGAGATAAAAAATTGGCTATGAACCCATAATAAATAAAAGTTATGCCTAGTGCATAGTCTTTCTACATAAAAATTGATTTTAATCTATATCTTTGATTCTTCCTCTCGAATTTAATGGAGATTGTCGTCGTCATTATTAGAATATTCCTGGTCACTAAAAGGCTTTAAATGTGTACTTCCGTTTGAGAAAAATCAAACACTGAGTTAACCTCAATTCGTATCATTAAGTAAGTCGTACCTGTATTCTTCAACTTGTTGTACGCAGTACTTTTGTGGTGTAATGCGTATCTATGATTGCTAATGCGTAATTGTACGCTCTATTTTCATTTTCAATGGGTATTTTGTAAAATTTAATGCGTATTTCTGCAAATACGCACCTTATCTGGAGCTCTGCTGTTTAACGTCCCTCTCCAGAATATTTCACTGATATTGAGACGTCAACATTGCCGGTGAAGGGCAGGAAATTTAGGCCTATGCTCGGCACTTACGGCCTTTGAGTAGGGAGGGATCTTTATCGTGCCACACCTGCTGTGACACGGGGCCTCGGTTTATACGGTCTCATCCGAAGGACCGCCCCATTTACTCGCCTTTTACGACAAGCAAGGGGGTAATGAGAACCTATTCTAACCCGGATCCCCACGGGGTTTGCTGTTTGTTAGAAAAAGTTTTTTTGCTGTCTTTGAGAAAAAGATTTTTCCTATGTATTCCTATGTTAAAATTTGATACACCCATTGTGGACCCACCTTACCCTGGGTGTCTTGATATGAACAGACACATCTACACTACATGAGGATGCAGCTTCCACATGAGTTTTATCTGTCTTTCCGATACTTGAGAAGATTTTGAAAGATGTTTCCTATATATGTCTATGTGTGTCTTGGTACAAAACTAGTAAATATGGTGTCGGAAGTTCCACATGTGCACTTGGTTGCCATGGAGACGGATCCATTATTTACACACTGAATTGTCTACAGATTTTTTCGTGGTCAATTGCCGAATTCAACGGATCCGTCTCCATGGCACCCGAGTGCACATGTGGAACTTCCGACACCATATTTACTAGTTTTGTACTAAGACACGCCTATGGTGAAAATTTCATCAAAATTCGAGACATGTCGTTTCCAAGCCCTATTGTTGGTGATTACAGAGAATGCGTGTTAATACCTTATTGTTGCCCTACCCTATTCTCACGTGTCATGATTTGAACAAACTTGAATCTTCACTACCAAAGGATGCATCTACATGAGTTGAATCTTTCCTGCTACAGTGGTTCCTTAGAAAAAGATTTTCCGAATGTATTCCTATGTTAATCTTTGGTACCCCCACTATGGCCCAACCCTACCACCGGGGATCACGATTTTAACAAACCTAAACCTACACTACACGAGGATGCTTTCACATGAGTTTCATCTTTCCTGGCCCTCTGTTTCTTGGAAGGAAGATTTTCAAATGATAGCATAAATTTATCCCTAATTCTTAATTATCTCACTTGGAAGAGGGTCTAGCCCATCATTTGATGTAACATGAATCCCCTTACACTTTGTGGCAAGTTTGATTTGAATTGGCCCAGTGGTTATTGAGAAGAAGATGAAAATGTAAAAAGTTTACAAGGCCAACAACGTTGACAACAGACAACGGACAAATTTTGATAAGAAAAGCTCACTTGAGCCAAAGGCTCAAGTGAGCTTAAAAGTTTTGGCAAATATTTACAAACTATTAACATTTGTAAAGAATTTAACTAATTTAGATCGACTCTGCTGTCTCTAACTTGCGTAAAATAACAAAAAGTAAGAATGGAGGCGCAAAAGGCGAGGACAATCCACAGCTCTGAGAAAATCTTAAAGTTCTTGAAAGCTATCGTTTTAAAAATTATATTGTTTACTGTAGATTCCTTATTTTCGCAAGAACTTATCACAAAATGACTCTTTACCCACAAATCGAGAGAATAATTATTCGCAAATAAACAGTTGATCAAAAGAATTAACATGGGTTTTAGCAGCATCAATATACGGCGAATAATTCTATTTGGCAAGTGATTCTTATCGCGAAATTATGCGATAATTAATTTAGGAATCTACAGTATTTTTACCATTTAAGGGTCCTCCACACACACACACAACTTATGTTCTCATGTGACTGAGCATTACTTTTAACAAGCATATCAACCTTTAAAAACTTGCCAGGAATTAAAATATAATTTACACTGATTTTTTAAAAGTTTAAAAAAAAAGTTTCAAGATAATTTTCCAAACGCTTTAACATATCTAGCACAACAAATTTTGTCTTAACCTATCGTATATTTTTAAGCTCACATAATAACCATAAAAAACTTGGTTTGATCAATCGACATATTTCTTAGAGAAATTTATTTAACTGATAGAAAATAAATAAAACTCATTTTCTCTTAAATACATCCAGAGGAAAATCAAGGAAGACTCCCTTTGTATATAAAAGGCATCAATGAATTAGATTACATAAAAAATAGAATTAAAATTAAATGCACTGATGTAGAAAACATATTTTTAAAATCGTTGGTATCATACTGGCCAAGGTTGCCACTAAACCTCACCCCACCCTTAAAAACTAAAAATTAAAATAAATTGATAATCTATTTTAAAATATTTCATAAAATACTGCGACGGTTTTGATAACCTATAGTAAAAACTTTGCAACTATAATGAAAACTTTACATCAAAATACATCTTTGATTTACTGCAGTAAAAACTCTTTGAAAACTTTGGAACTTGATTAAGGAGGCCGACTATAGTTTCCATTGCGCAATATTTCGCGCATCATAGTAATATGAAGCTTATTCACTGATTTAAAGAATTTTTTTCGCTTAATTATTAAAATCAAACAAAATTAAGAAATTATAGGCATAAAAATGTAATTACAATTTGATATAACTGATTTTTTAACCGATTTTGCAATTGATAGGTAGGTTGACGTCGTTGCAGTGTGTTTTTGACGTTATGATAATCTGTAGCTCTTGAAGAAAGGAGTAATAAAAATATTGTTAAAGAAAAAGTAATGAACATACGCTCTTGAAATTTAAAACATAGAAATTTGAGAATATCTCTAATATTTTAAAATGTTTTTATGTGAATCCATTGTGTACGTCATATTTTGTAATACTCTATAAAAATAGTAAAATTTGCTAATTTTTTTGCATATTGAGATGCCCCCTCAGGTAACAAGACGGTAGAATTTTGTTTTTCTTCCATATATTGTATAATATAGTATTACACATAAAATATTATAGTTTGAACAAAATGTCTATTGTAGTATTTGTATATTTTGCTTTAAAGTGCTAAAAATTGGCATTTTCCTATATAATCCTATAGTAAATCTTTACCAGTATTTTGAAACGGTCCCTCAAAAATACCTGGACGGTAGATTTCCCCCAAACTTTACATGTACACTGAAGTTAATGTAAATTATATATGGTATAAAAATGAAGAGTTTTGCTATTGTAGTTTTCACACAATAAAACTATAGTCGGCCCCCTTAACTAGTGAAATTTTTATTTACTTTAATGAAAACTTGGGAATTTTGATTTACAATAGATGGCTATAAAAAAAACAACTAGTTTACTATATTGGGCCACATCGCTCACCTGATTGACTTGGGTTCTTTTCCAAATTTCCCCTCTTGCTATACCTATCGTGCCCCATCCCCTCCCTTTTCATGATTTTAATATCTAGAATCTACACTACCCCGGAATGCTTCCACATAAGTTTCAGCTTTCCTGGCCCAGTGGTTCTTGAGAAGAAGATTTTTAAAGATTTGTTCTATATGTTTCTATGTAAAACTTGATTTCCTAGTGTGGCCCCGCCCTACCCCCGGGGGTCATGATTTTTACAATTTAATATCTACACTACCCCAGAATGCTTCCACATAAGTTTCAGCTTTCCTGGCCCAGTGGTTCTTGAGAAGAAGATTTTTAAAGATTTGTTCTATATGTTTCTATGTAAAACTTGGATTCCCTAGTGTGGCCCCGCCCTACCCCCGGGGGTCATGATTTTAACAATTTAATATCTACACTACCCAAGGATGCTTCCACATAAGTTTCAGCTTTCCTGACCCATTGGTTCTTCGGAAGAAGATTTTTAAAGATTTGTTCAACATATTTCTATGTAAAACTTGGATTCCCTATTGTGGCCCTGCCCTACACCCGGGGTCATGATTTTTTCAATTTAAATCTAGACTACCCAAGGATGCTTCCACATAAGTTCAAGCTTTCCTGGCCCAGTGGTTGAGAAGATTTTGAAAGATTTGTTCTACATATTTCTATGTAAAACTTGGATTCCCTATTATGGACCCGACCTTCCTTCGGGGGTCATGATTTAAACAATTTAATATCTACACTACCCAGGGATACTTCCACATAAGTTTCAGCTTTCCTGGCCCAGTGGTTCTGTAAAAGATTTTTTAATGACCTCACCCTATTTTTGTCTTTTCCTGATTATCTCCCCTTGTAAGGAAACTTCCTTTTATCAATTTAAATTCCCCTTTACCCACCCGAGGATGCTTTGTACCAAGTTTGGTTAAAATTGGCACAGTGGTTCTTGAGAAGTCGAAAATGTGAAAAGTTCACAAAGGGACAGACAGACGGCGGACAAAATGTGATTAGAAAAGCTCACTTAAGCCTTCGGCTCAGGTGAGCTAAAAACTTGCTCGAAGTTATAATTCGGAACACATGCATATTAACTTTTGCAGCTGTCTACCGGCAAGCAGTGGCGTCGCAATATGAATGTTAAATTCCAGGAGAGAATTTTATCAAACAAATGAACAAAAAACGCCCCAACAAGTTAAAATTTTCCATCCAACATTGTCTCCCACAAATTTTTATTATTTCATGATAAATAAAGCATTACTGTTGTCATATGTCAGGTCATTTTCTCCAAATACAATCCAAAATCCATTCTGGATAATCCTTTCAATTTCAGAATAACTGAGATCTGAGTTGTCACTAAAAAGAATTGCGTAGTATGACACGCAGTAGCAGCCAGTGACCACCGTCATGATTGTCAGGAAGGCGAACGTGTCCAGGAACTGAAAAATGAATATGAAAGGGTATCTTACGTTTGAAAATAGTTTTTAGAATAGACGAAAACTAACTAAATTCAAACAGGTGACTACTGCCTAATAGAAACTGGTAGGCATAGCTAAATACCTTGACAAGAAAGATTGTGAACTTCATGTAATGCTATTTATGATGAATCTCATTTCTTTATACAGTGTAACTTTAATTTACAAGCAAGGAATATACTTATAAAAGCTATGTTAGATCATTCGTTGTTTCTTATTCTACCTCAAATCACCTACAAAGAAATTTGAATATATATAATTACTCCCAAACTGGGCTGTGCTGTTTGCATTTTTATAAAACAAATAAAAGGTCCACATCGGTGTACCATTTAAAGATATATTTATGCCGTATTAGTGTTTTATTTTAAAAGAAATAAATATATGTGGTTTCTCATCAAATTATATAAGTTATATACTTTCTGCAAATAAGACAATTCCACTCCATCACTTTTAAAAATTATGAACTATTATTTGGTAAAAATTATTTTCTCTCCGAGTCTGATAATAAACGCCTTTTATTGAAATATTCATGATCACGTGGTCTCGCATGCTCAAGGCAAACAATGGTCCAATCTCGTGAATGAACCGAAAAGCATGATGGTCTACTACGTTTAAACTACAAACACGTGAGTTACGGATTGTCAATACGTGAGCACACCTCAGAGTTCGTTGCTTTTTGTACCGAAGACAAATCATGTGCAATAGTCTTTTCACTAGCAGTGCAGCACGGGCAAACTCTAAACAAACGGACTTGTACAATGGAGTGGGGAAAACTTTAATTTTTATCATTGTTAATCATTTGTATGCAAATATGAGCATGGGATTAGTAGATAATAATGTACATAATGCATTAAGCGTGTAAATGCTTGGGAAAATGCATCAAGTCTTTCCAAGAGCGATTTTAAAAACTAGCCTTTACGAAAAACACGTGTAGTATTTTATGTAGTAACCCATAAATGCATTAAATGCAACTCATTGAGCTGATTGGTAGATTTGTCAGTCATATTGGTTCCTCACTGAACAGACGTCACAAAAAATATCTTCATCGACCTGATTATTCTCGCGATGCTTTTCCCGCGCACATGCGCAGATCCAGGATAAACCTCAGTCCTTTATAAATATGCATGAGGATATCGTGTTCTTTTCCCGACCAGTACTTTATTAATACCGAATAATATTTCGTCGAATTTGCAAGAATGATTCATTTTTGATACCTTATCATACTTCAGAAATTTTTGTTCGGTTTCAGCTGTGAAAAAAATACTGTTTAACACTGTTATTCAAAGTTATTCCGATTTTTAAAGCTGGAATACATGGTGAGCGCATTTTTGCCCATATTTTTCAAAAGGACAGTAGGTGTAGAACTGTTGAAAATTTAACATATTTCAGGGAGAAATTTGGGCAAGCCTGCGCTCGGGGTAAACGTTTTGAAAAAAGGTACAAAACGCCGACCGTTTTCTTCACTATTTACGGGTATTTATTTACATGTCATTGACCTCATTGGCACCTGTTTAGTATTCCAATTTATCACGTGATTTGTAGACTCAGGTAACTGTGTGAATACAAAAAAAATCAATAAATCACGTGGCTGTACCTCCGATTAACATTCTGTCGAAAAGTGACCGACTTATACCGTTAAATTTGTTTGCTTGTTTGTTTTTGGTTTTCTCTGGTTACATGTGCATTTTCAATTAATCAACATCGAATTTTTTCTCTGCCAAGTATTTTGATAGGGTAATGGAATATTAAATTGGACAAAAAAATATCATATTTTTAGTTCTTGAATTTAGCGGACACGTTTCAACTCAGAGTTTCAAAGAGTCCCAATCTTTGCAAAAAGCATAATTCCTCAAAGTGTTTTTATGTAAACATATAAGCACACAGGGTAGAAATACGTCTACATGGTTTAATACTAAAAATTACTTACTGGGACCAGAAAACAACCCCCCCCCCCCCAAAAAAAAACAATCACACAAATAATGAAATTGTATTAGTGATAAAATTTCACCATATGCAGCATAGCAAAAAAAAGAAAAGATCTGTACACCATTATATGTACCACAATGTAAGAATCTACTGTACTTTTAAAAGCAAGGAGAGAGAGATTATTATTTTTTTTAAAAAAATCGATACGGTACTAATCTTTTAGAAAATAGTTATTCTTTAAAATGATTTTTCCGTGTTCATAGACAAGTTTTCTTCCTTTATCAATTTTTTGAGTGTTAAATTTCCACCTAGAAGCAACCAAAAATTGGGGGATTTGGATATAGGGAAGGGAGTACATGTACTTCTCAAAGATCCTCCCCAGCACCCCTATTTAAAAAAACAAGAGGCCCACGGGCCTTATAGGTCACCTGAGTATCATGTAACAACTTTCCAGCGATTGTATTTGGCTCGTGTTTTAATCCAAAAGCCATGAAATTCACAAATTTTGAAGGAGGCACCATTGCTTATCAAAGGGCAGATTTCAAAGCAGTAATTTATTTTTAGTCAAAGTACCCCCCTGGTACCCCTGACCCAGCGGCCCTGAAATTATCTATTTTGAAAGAGACCCCTTTCTTCATTATAAGGCCAGATTTTTTTTGATGTTTAGGTTTAGTTATGAACATGAGAATAAAAAAGTCCCGAAGGAGAAGGAAATAAATTTTTTTTTGATAAATCAATTCTTGACATTTGTACATTCTTTTTTATGCTATTCTAATAGGCTCCTTACCACTGGACACATAATGCTTACAAATAGGAAAGTAGAACATTTAATTGCTTATTTAATCATCTACCAGTTTGGGCCAGTTATATGAATTTGTGATGTTGGTCAAAATATATTTTTAAAAATCAATTCTTTAAAAGTCTTTAAATATATCTTCATTTTTTAATATGTGTTAGGTGAATGTGTAGACATTGTTTTAAAATTAACTTGATGTCTAAAATTATAATTCCTATCATAAAACAGACAGGGAATATTGGGGAGTAGGGTGAACATTTTTTCAATTAAGTGTAAAATATTTTTTCTGGCTGATACAAATGATACTACATGCCTGTATATATATATGTATATTCTTGCCTTTTAATCATGTTAATAGTTGAATTTTTTTTTTATTTCTCCAGGTTATTGTTTATTTCTTCCTCAAATGGACTTAACTTCTCCCATAGTTTTATTCATTACATCTGATGCATAAGCAACCCTTTTCGGAGGAATGATGCTTAGACTGTAAGCTATAACAGAGACCTAAACAATGTCGCTGGCAATATGCAATAGCTACCACTGGGCAGTTTAAAACCTTGGGGAGGAAAATAATTTACAGACAGATACTTTTGAAACGAATACATAATTATCTCACCAGCATGTCATTGTGCATCAAAGTCGTCAGCATTTTATTTGTCCTTTGAACGGGTGAAACGTTTAGAATGAAACTCGTATCGATGAATTTTACACTAAACCAAGCTATCATCTCAGGTCTAGCTTTATTTACCCGCCGTTTCATCTTAAAACCGGAAGTGCGAGTTCGTAAATTTGAAATCTCGATCCCGACTCAAATATGACATCGGAAGGAAAAAAATTGTTTTATTTACCTTGAGTGGGGGTTTGTGAAACTGAAAATAAAATAAATCCTGGCCTTAAATATGTAATTAGATCATTGGTATATTAACCAGGAGCAAAGGATAAGATGTTCAAAAAATTCATGCATTTCACTATATAACCATTAGAGCCCCACCCTAAAACAAGAACCCCTGACCCTGGGGCCATAAAATTCACAATTTTGGTAGAGGCACTCTTGCTCATCATAACTATGTACTTAGTTAGTTTATTTATTACCAAGGAGCAGAGAAGAAGATTTTCAAAAAATTCATGTATTTTCACTATATAATCAATAGAGCCCCGCCCTAACACCAGAACCCCTGACCCTGGGGCCATAAAATTCACAATTTTGGTAGAGGCACTCTTGCTCATCATAACTATGTACTTAGTTGGTTTATTTAATACCCAGGAGCATAGAAGAAGATTTTCAAAGAAATAATGCATTTTCACTACCTACTTATTTAGCCCCGCCCTAGCACTAGAACCCCTGACCCCAGGGCCATGAATTTCACAATTTTGGTAGAGGACTCATTGCTGATTACAATCATGCAATCAGTTTGACTGCTTGATGTCCAGGAGTAAAGAAGATTTTTAAAGATTGCATTAATTTTAGTGGTTTTGGCCCCACCCCTCAGGCCCCAGGGGGGCAGGGATCATGAAATTCATAATTTTTGTTCCCCTTCACCCATAGATGCTTTGTGCCAAATTTGGTTGAAATTGGTTCAGTGGTTGCAGAGAAGAAGCTGAAAATGTTCAAACGTTAACGGACGACGCACGACGACGGACGAAAACGGATAGCAATAGGTCACCTGAGTTTACTCAGGTGACCTAAAAAGCGTAATCTTTGAGAAGTTCTTTGTGTTTACTTTTCTGTATATTTTGTATTATATCCCAGAAGCCATTATAACTGGCTATTACATGTGTTTTCAATCGATCGATATAATGCCCCGCCTACTCCGAATATTAATGTGTAACAATTAAAACCTAACTCGGACAAGCGCAACATTCCGGAATTAACATCCACTAAGAGGGCTTTTTTAATTACCTGAAATGAAACTAAAGCGCCGTTTTCAATGAAAATTTTTGCAAGTTATGTACCACATAGATAACAAGATATGGGTCTAGTGTAAAAAAATTAAGATTCGGGTTAATTAGATAAAGGGGCCACGGCACTATGCTTAAGTGGTAACATTCTTTCTGTATACGGCTATTATTTATAATAATTCGTAGTTCTCTTTTGTTTTTATGATGGATAGTATTGCTTGACCCACATGGGTGTATTATTCAATTAAGAGATATTTTCTATTTTACTTGTTATAAACCTTCGTAATGTTTTTTTTTCGATGACATACCCTACCATGTACAGTTAAGGTTCAAATTGGAAAAT